ACCTGGCTGTCTAGGCGGATGTCTCCTTCCTCCCTCACAGCTCCATGTGCGTCCCTCCCAAAGCTGCATGCTCAGTCAAAGAGGATGACCACCCCAATAGAGGAAGACCTTTTTCCCAGTCATGGGTATACGAGTAGCTGCGCTTCCCTGCTAGAACCTCCAACAAGCTTTCAAAGACACCTCAAATAGTGTACATATCTCAGGTGCTAAAATCAGTAGAAAAAGGCTTAATGAGAAATAGGAAATTACATAAATTCAAAATATTCTCCTTGAGGTGGGGGATAGGTTCAAAGATGACCAGTAGATACCTGAGACTTTAGACAGTGCCAAACACCATACAATCACTCCTCGTGTCCACAGGGGGTTGGCCCCAGGGACCCCCACAGATACTGAATCTGCAAATGTTCTGTTCCTTATATAAAATGGTGTAATATTTGGGTATAAACCATGCATACCATCTTGGATACTTTAAATCATCTCTAGATTATTTATAATATTTAATACAATATAAGTGCTATGCTAATAGTTGTTATATTATACTGTTTAGGGAATACTCAGCCAAATAGGGAATAATGACAAGAAAAGCCTGCACGTGTCCTGTACAGATACAATTTATTTTTTCAAATATTTCCAATCAGCAAGTAGTTGAACCCACTGATGCAGAACACAAGGATGTGGAACTCATGGGTATGGAGGGATACCTGTGTTATACTTTTCCAGTTTTTTTCCAACTTTTTACTAATTAGGTCAGTAAGAGATTAACGATAACTACTAATAAAACAATTATAACAACATACTGTAATAAATGTTATTTTAAATTATTATAAGTGCTTATTTCTGGAATTTTCCACTTAGTATTTTCAGACCATGACCTCAGGTAACTGAAACCACAGATAAAAAGGAATTATTCCCTATGATGAATGTGATCATTATGTAATATCTAAATTGTGCCAACAAACTTAATAAAAAAGAAAAAGAAGGAATTATCATGTCTCCCACAGATTAAAAAGGAAGCCTGACAGATACCATCGTAGGCATGTGATCAGAATGATCATTACCAACAGGACAGACCAAGACCACGTGCCCACTGGTGACATTCACTAGGAAGGACTTGATATTACTATAGACAGCTAAGTTAGGTAGAAATATAGTAAGCAGTCAGAAAGGGCTGGGCCCTTGAGGCAGTCAGTACAAAAGATGAAAATTCATCAGGACTGTGGCTGGAGGTGTACTTGAAGATTAAAGTCACAATGGCTGGTTTTACACACTTCCCTAAGGGATGAACGGACGCTATCATGTCACTTCTGTTTTAAAATGAATTTTGGAGGTGACACATTCAAGATGTAGTAGACACAGAGATAACGGGGGAAATCTGTCCATCAACTGTATATTGTACTGGCGATAGTTCATTGCAGTATCAACTTGAATGGATTAAAGATGCCTAGTGGATTAGTAGAGTACAGTTCTAGGTGAGTCTGGATGACTGATTTTTTTTTGGATATTTATCTAATTTATTTTTTATTTGTACATTTCAGATATACATAACAATAACATATTATGGGGAATTTGTACCAGTATATGTTATATTGGGCTTCAATTCTTGTTTCAGATCCTTCCTAGGTTCTGAGGACCCACTGCTCTCTTTCTCCTCACACTGCTGTATTCCAACATCTGGACACCAAATCTCAGAGAGGCTGTTTCTCTGCTGTTCACCACTCCACCAGCTTCTTCGAAGTCTACCTGAATGACTGATTTAGGAATGGTATGGCAAGCAGGAACACCGAAACAACACCCAGGATTTGGAGGCAGTGGAGTGGTCCTGGCCAGGCTCACTCCCAACAACAAAGAAAGCCAGGCCCTATCCACTGGTGGTCTGGAGGCTTTATAGGTTTTTACAGGCAGAAAGTACAGAATCAGAACTGTAGGTTTTTGATAGGGCAGGGCAAGTCCAGTGAATGTGAGGGACAGGTGAGTAGAATGGGAAATGGAAACATAGTGTCCAAGATGTCCGCCTGCATGAAAAACCAGGAAGTGAATTGCAGGCATCCACGAATAACAAGTGAGGAGGCCATATCATATAGGGCAGGTTGGAAAAGTAAAAGTAGAATAAAAGGGGCTTTTCTGCTTTATGAAGAGAGAAAGGTTCGCCTTGGATATGGGTGGCAAAAGGCTACAGTCTGTTTGGAATAAAAGGAAAGAATAAGGAAATCTATCCTCTTGTTTGTTCAGAGGAACTCATCTTGGCCATCACCTTTGGACATTGATTCAGCCTTCCAGGCTCTTCAGCCTTCCAGAGCAGACCCCTGGGCTTCCCAACACAGACTCACAGGACTTTACAGTGAGCTCCAAGCCTTCAGCTCCCCAGTACATCTTCCACCCCTGACTCTGCAGGCATCCATGGTAAGTCTACTTTGTAAATCCTTCATACATATATTCTAAGACAGATACAAAGCAATTCTGCCAAAATATTATCCATGAATCTAAGTAAAAGGTACATAAATGGATGGACTGCTATTATACTAATCTTACAACTCTTTTGAAAGCTTTTAAATTTTATGTCATTATATGTTAAATATTATGTCATTATATGCTAAATTTCTTGAGTGTAAAACCAAAAAAAAAAAACCAAGGGCTGGGGATTTAGCTCAGCGGCACAGTGTCTGCCTGGCAAGCGCGAGGTCATGAGTTCGATTCCCGGTACCGGAAAAAAAGCAAAAAATAAAAATAAATAAATAAAATAAATAAATTTCTTGAGTGTGATAAGGGTATTGCAGTTATGTAGGAGAATATTCTTGTTTTTGTTTGATGGAGACCACTATGAAGCAGGCCTAAGCAGGACTTAAATTAACCAATTGGCTTTTTATGTTTACTTATGAATCTGCCCAAAGCCTAGCCCCCTTCTCTGGAAATGGGCGATGGACTCATAGTAAGTGAAACTCTGTGAATCACTAATCCTTACTAAAACCTGTAATGGTGGATGAAGCCAGAAAGCCTCAAAGGATAAGATAAGATCACAGCCAAGGACACCTGGATCCAATCTCAACTAGATGAAGACTATAGCCTCAGGCATCTCACTCCTGGGTGGATTAACTTAATCCTTATTAAGGATTAATTTAATATCTTACTTGGAGAAGTCCTTGAGTAATTCTGCCCTTCTTAAGTACTCCCCTCCCTTCTTCTGATAACCAAATAAATACAGACCACCCAGAGAAGGTTTTAGTCTTAGCCCTGAGACAATTTCAAATTCTGTGAGAGGGTTTTGATCCTCCTGGAGCTCTGAAATTATTCCATTTGCCTCTTTTTATTTAGTCTTCACTGTGCACTCATTTGGGAGATTGCAGACCTGATCAGTCTGCAATAACTAAGTGATATTATTAACCCAACACTTGTCCTTAGGGGGTACAAGTTGAGAGTATTTAGGGATGTAATGTTATGCTACTACAACTTATTTTCAAATGGTTTCACCAAAAATGTTTTGTTTTATTTTTTTGAGTCAGGGTCTGGCTATGTAGTTTAGGCTGCCCTTGATCTCACTGGGTAGCCCAGGCTGATCTTGAACTTATGGCAATCTTTCTGCCTCAGCCTCCCAACTGCAGGGATTCCAGGAGTGAACCACCACATTCAGTATTTTGAAATCACATAAATACATATATGTATTTATATGTAAAACGTGATGAATTTATATGTAAAACAGTGAAAGGTTTACACTGTTCAACTTTTTTCCCTTTAGTACTGTGGGCTGAACCCAAGGCCTGCACACTGAGCTATGTTCTAGCTTTATTTTGTTTTTCACAGAGTCTTGCTAATTCAATGAATTACCCAGGCTGGGCTCTAACTTGTAGTTCCCCTGCCTCAGCCACCCAGAGTGCTGGCACTACAGGCATGCACCACCACACTCAGCTTGCACTATTCAACTTTTCTGTAGGTTTGAAATTGATTGGGGTTCTTTGTTTGGTTTTGGTTTTTTGGTTTCTTGAGACAGAGTCTTGCTATGTAGTTCAGGCTGATCTTGAACTCACTATATAGCCCAGGCTGGCCTCAAACTCATAGCAATCCTCCTGCCTTGGTCTTCCAAGTGCTGGGATCACAGGTGTGTGCCACCAAACCCAGTGGGTTTGAAATTTTCAAAATGAGAATTTTTAAAGTATTTAGCAGCTATAGAAATATATAAAACATTAAGGAATACTAAATTTTAAAATTACTCATCATTTGGAAAAATCTATTCTTGCTATGATTCTGCTTACAACCTTCTTTAGCATCCCACTACTCCTAGGAGAAAGACAAAATCACCTAATAAGATCGTAGCCTACCACATCTGGTACCTACCTCTTCTACCATTATGGTGGTTCACCATCATGTTTCCCGCCCCGCCTCCCACTCTGCACCAGGCTCTGACAGTACATACCTATGCCCTAACTACTCCAGAGGGATCCAATCCCCTGGAGTTCTCCCCCTTCCTAACCTTTACACATGCGGCTACCCCAGCCTAACTAAGGGAACTAAGAAGCGAGTTTTTATGTCCTCTGTCTTGGACGGTTGGTTCCCCTAAATCTGCTCTTACAAGTTCTCTCTAGCCCCCAAGTCTGGGTGACATGCCCCCTTAGCAAACTCCTGGGTCTCTTCAGAGCATTTAGCACACCATATTGAGATGGTCGGCTCATTTATCTCCTCCAGTGTTTGGTAAACTGAGACAGGCATTTTTATTCCACTCTCACCCCCTCCTGCATTGGTTTGGTACACAATGATATATGTATTCAGTACAAGGAGCTGAGTTCTGTTTTCTTGTATCTAAAGTAGAGGGGCCTGGATGAGCTATTGGTAATAAGACTGATCGAATAGTCTCCAACCCTAACTGTGCAGGAAATCCCTTTTCTGTTTCATTGGTGTGGTGTAGAACCTCTGATGACCTTCCGAGTTGGGGGACCTGGGGACTACAGTACCCATCAACCCTCGGGGTACCACGTGATGCTTCGGTGCTCTCGCGGGTTGGGAGTACTACATTTCCCAGCGCGCCCCGGGACTTCCGGAGTACCGGCTCCCTGTGGGTTTGTGGTAGCCGAGGCTAAGCTACTGGTAAAAAAGGGCCCACTTTTGGGCTTCCCAGGACCTGACTCACCCAAAGCACGGAGTTGCACATGCCCTATTTTTGCAGTTTCCTGCCATTCCCTCCAAATCCCTTTAGTAAGCAGGAGGCTGTGGTCCCGGCCTCTGAAAGCCCTCACCCCTCCAGTGCCTGAAGCTAGAAGCCAAACTACCGGGTCCCACGAGCGGAGGCGGAGCCGCGGCGTGCCGCAGGTAGAGGTGGCGGGGGAAGGGCTGGCCTTGCGGGCCGTGGGTGGCGCAGGGAAAGGCCCTCAGCTCTCGGGTCTTCGTCCCTGCAGCAGCGGATGTTGAGTGGGCAGTTGGTCCGACGCCTGGGCTCCATGGCCACCCGCGTGCGCTCGTCCCCGGGCGGCGCGGGACCCGAGCCCGTGGGCCCGGTGGAGGCCGCCATCCGCGCGAAGCTGGAGCGAGCCCTGAGCCCCGAGGTGCTGGAGCTGCGCAACGAGAGCGGCGGCCACGCCGTCCCGCCTGGCAGCGAGACGCACTTCCGCGTGGCGGTGGTGAGCTCCCGGTTCGAAGGGCTGAGCCTCCTGCAGCGGCACCGGCTGGTCCACCAGACGCTGTCGGAGGAGCTGGCCGGGCCGGTGCACGCGCTGGCCATCCAGGCCCGGACGCCCGCCCAGTGGAAGGAGAACCCGCAGGTGGGCGCGAGCCCGCCCTGTCTCGGTGGGAGCCGGAAGACGCGAGGAACCCCTTGACCCCAAGAGACGGGGGAGGACCCGCCTCTGAAGGGGCTGGCTGAGAATAAACGATTAAATTACCACGCATTATGGTGATTCGCAAGGACAGCGACCTCCGGGACCTCCGGGCTCCGCGCCCGGCACGCGCGTGTTCTCCAGAGGTAGCTCACCGAAGGCCGGCTCACCAGGGCAAGCGCAGTCGCGCGCTGGGGCTCTGGCCCGACCCTTCGGCAGCGGGTGCCTAGTTCCGCGTTAACTTGTGACTGAGGAACTGCACCAGTCACGACTGGGAACAGCCCCCACATTAAAGGAGAAATTCTGTGAGGCATATTGCAGTGTTGTTAGTACTTACGGAAAGTAAGTACTGCTTCTGCCGGTGGTGTTCTAGAGGGAAGAAAAGTATCCGTAGGCCTGGGTGGCCAGGAGGGGATTCTTGGGAGAAGTGAACTGCTGTACTGGGTCGCTAAAGTGTAGTGGCCTTACGCTAGAAAGGAGAGAAGTGTTCCTGAGCAAAGGCAGAGACTGGACTGGGCAGTGGGTTATCGGACAAAGCAGGGGGAATTGGGGCTGGGGGTGTAGCTCAGCGGCACACCGCCTGCCTGGCAAGCACGACGTCGAGAGTTCGATTCCCGGTACGGGAAAAAGAAAACCAAAAACAAACAAACAAACAAAAGCAGGGGAGATTGGCAGGAACACATTTAAGCTTCATCTTGCGGGGAATGTTTGTCTTTTGACAGCTTGTTTCCAAAAAGGATTTGTTTATGAGAAAAACTTTTTTTTTTTTTTAAAACCACAAAGTAATGAAAAGAGGTTAAGGCCCCTTTATGTAGGCCTCTGCTGATGAGGCTTCCAAACATTACATAGCTTTTTTTGCCATTCCTAGAGATTGAACTGAGGGTCTGCACACTGAGCTACATCCCCAACCCTTTTTCTTTTGAGACAGGGTCTTGCTAAGTTGCTAACCTGCCCAGGCTGAGCGCCCATTTGCACTCCTCTTGCTTCAGCCTCTCAGAGTGCTGGCATTACTGTACAGGCATATGCCACCGTGCCCAGGTTAACATTCTGAGAGGAGCTCAAGTAATGTCTATAACTTTCCAGTAATCTCAATGTGGAAATTACTGTAAAAGAAGGCTGCTTAACCTATCTTGACCATTTCTGGCTAAAGAGTTTAGGCTGCATCTGCTTGGGCAGTAAGAAGTCTTGGAGAATTTTGAGAGAGCATATGGGGACAGACTGACCCAACAGTGATATGTAAGTGGGTTGGCATAGGAGGGTAGAGGCACAGATCAACCAAAAGTGAAGGTAGAACCCTGACTTAGAGGGCAGCTGTGGGAGTGGAAAGAAAGGAGTTGATCTGAGAACTGCTATTAAAATCAGAAAATGACTTAATTGCAGCCCACGGAAGCTCATTTAGAATGTAAGCTTTGAGGTCCCCTACCCCCTGAAAAAGGATTTGATTCCATAAGTCAAGAGTAGCATCTGGGATCTCTATATTTTAAAGACACCCCAGGAAATTTGGACAAACATCAGTTATATTTTTTATGGTTTTGGAGACAGAGTCTCACTATGATTTTCAGGCTGGTCTTGAACTCACTTTAAAGACTAGGTTGGCCTCAGACTTGGAGGAATCCAGTTGCCTCAGCCTCCCATGTGCTGGGATTACAGGCATGTGCCACCACGCCTAACTAGTTGGTTCTATTTTTAGGAAACATTATTCCAAGTTTTTTAAAGCTGGGAGGGTTAGAGAGCCCTCCACCTGTGACAGTGGAAATCTCAGGGTGTAGAGAGGCCAATTTAGGAAGTAAATGTGATCCATCATGTTATTCTGGCTTCCAGATTAAAGAGGGAGCTGCTTTTAACCACTGTTTTTTATTCTCAGGATTGTCAGAATGGACTCAGATATAGGAGGAGAGGCAAAGAAACAGCCATTTTGGATTTTAAGGATTTGTTTCCTTTTATTTTCATTAGTATTTTTCATTTCATTTTTCACATCAAGAGTCGGGTTTAGGGTTCCCCAGGTGAGCAAGGAGATGGATGGGTCTCCCTGGGAGGCAGGGGAGAGGGCTGCGTCCAGCAGGCGAAGGGTGAGGGAAGAGCACACCCGTACACTGGGCACTGAGGAGAAGGCAGTCCTTTATCACAGACACCAGAGTTCAACAGTCACCACCTGGTTCGGTTACAAAATGGAAGTGACCACAGGTTGAGGACACCAGACGCAGCATGAAAAGGGTGAATTTGGATTTTCTTTGTTGTTATTTTCACTTTTTTCCTTTTAACTTTTTAAAACATTTTACAAACAGCTAAAAACTACAACACATCACAGCTACGGGGGGTGGGAGGAGGGCACCAACGAAAGCAGCTACACAGATGGGTGGGACAGGGGCAGCTTCACCTACAGAGGCTACTGTGTGGAAGGGTGAGGTGGGGAAACAGGTTTCTGGTCTCTGCATTAGGGGTTTCTCACTGCCCAACCTCTCCCCGCTTTTAGAGGAGTTGCCAGGAGGGCCCCTGCTTCCTGCCTCACCCCAGCTCCTTGTGCTTTTTGATCTGGTGGTTTGACCATATCCCTGGGTTCCCTCCCCTCCTGCTCCCCAGCCTGTGACAGACCTTGGGGCCTTGGGGAAGCAGCTGTGTGCTTCCTGTCTGCTGTGGTGGGCAGAGCCTTTCCCTCCAGAGGAGGCCTTGGCTTGACAGGAAGGAGAGATAGGCCTTGTCAGGTGCCCTCAGGTCTCCCTAGACCACAGGTCTCTTATCCCAGCCTGGCCTAGGGCTTCACCCTCCCAGGCCCAACACAGATACAAGCTTCAGCCAGATACTATGGGAGGCAGGGTTGTGTGTGTCCACTGAAATTCCCTTGGCTTATATTTGAGGACGGTATAGTAATACCATCACGGCGTGGCACACGCACACACACATACATAAATGGACACACATTCACACACAGTCCTGCTGAGCTGCCTCAGAACTTAAATAAATAAATTAATAAATAAGAACCAGAAAGCTAATTTTATAAAATTCAGGCTTCAGAGTTGTAGCCCAAATTGAAGGGAAAGTGGAGACCAGAGGGCCAAGGTTTATTGCTGCTCCCCAGCATCCAACAGGATGTGTGAGAGGACGCGGGGCCCTTCCGCCCATAAGAAGTTCTTTTGGTCCGCGGTGTATACCCAGGCCCCAGCTCCCAACAGAACTGCGCGTCCACGGTTTCACCAGGGCCTAAGCAGAGGGAAGGAGGGGGGAAGGCAGGAAGCCTATTCCGGAACCCCTGAAGCAGGGAAACAGGGCCCCTCACTAACACAGGGGGAGCAAGGTGGGCTCAGCCTTCTCATGTGCAAAGTCAAGGGTGGCAGGAGGTGGGGAGTAGTGCTTCATCCCAAAACTGGGATGGAAAAGCCTTCCCTGTAGGCCCTGCCCACGGGGTCACACATGCACACACACACGCACACACGGCTAAGACACCGAAGGAGTGGGGAGTGAGGACTCCGGGGGCCAGGGGGGCAGGGCAGGGAGGGGAGAGAAGGAGCGCTGGTCTCACAGTGAGCCTGCCATCCCCAAAGCCCCAGAGAAGCCCCTCACTGCAGCACCTGCCCCCGGGTCTCAGGCAGCTTCAGGGCCAGAGAGCTGCCAAGGGCAAGGGCAGCTGAGGCAAAGAGGATGGGGGCAGCCTTGGTGATCCCCACAAAGGATGTGAAGATGCTGATTCCCAGCACAGCTGCCAGTTTACACAGGGCATTCAGGAAGCCGAAAGCTGTGGTCCTGCTCAGGAGGCCCCAGTGCCAGGTGCAGCGCAGAGCCCAGGAGGGAGACAGAGTCAGGGAGGGGAGGGGTAGATAAGGAATACAGACAAATCGGGAAACAAGGAGGAAAAGAAACCCAAAAAAAGGAGATTAATATTTAAAACTGCAAGTAGTAATTACAAAAACTCAGCTTTTAGAGGAGAAACACGTGTCCTCCTACTCCCAAAGATGTTCCTGTATAGCCTCCTTCCTCACCCCACTTCTCCTGCCCTCTGCACCCTAAACTTGCTGCCCTGCCCCCACCGCATTCCAGCTACCTCTTGTCCGAAGGGTAGAGTTCAACAGTCAGCACATCCAGCGCGTTCCAGGAGGCGATGCTCACCCCGCCAAAGAGGCAGAGCAGCGCGATCATGGCCGACTCACTGTTCCCAAACGACAGGAAGAAGCAGGAGACGCAGGACATCACACTGGAGCCAGCTGGAGCAGAGAGCGGCAAAAGCTTGAGCCTGGCCGTGAGGACACCCATTTGGGTCCCCAGCTGGTCCCATCTGCCAGCTCTGGGACAACCCCACAGGAGACTCTTTTCCCAAGATGGCCAAAAGACAGGCTTTTCACTCATCCTCCACTTCCTTGTGATTGTTTATTAATAAAGTCAATTACAACTATTTATTCAGTGCCAACTACGGGCCAAGCATGCATCACTCTACCGACCCTGTAGGGCTGGCACCATGGCTTCCGCGTCACAAATGATGCTGGGCTGAGAAAGGCTAACTTGGCCAGTGGAAGTGGTGCAGGTGAGACACAAACCCACAACCTCAAAACCTGTGCCCTATGTGCTTGCTGTTCTGCCTATCTCCTTCCCCCTCCAAAGAAGCTTCTATACCTTGGCCACTCCATCCTGCAGCACCCCCAAGCAAAACATGAGAAAGAAGCCCTCAGACCAGTATCTTCCACAGCCCAACTACTGATAGCATCCCAGTCAGGCCTGAGCTACCCCGACCCCGCCTGCCCACTTACCAAGCATTCTGAGCCTGCCAATCTTGTCCATGAGCAAGGCAGACACAATATTCCCCGGAAGCACAGCCAGTGTCCCCAGGAAGCTGACGAAGTACACCATGTAGGCACCCTCCCCCGTGCCCGTCACGTCGAGCTGGCAACCCTCCTTGTTGTGCAGGAACGTGCTGTTCACCAGACGGCTGTTCACAAACTTGTAGTCAAACAAGTCTAGGGTGAAGGCCAAGACACACAAGTGGTTACAGAAGACAGGAAAGGGCTCTCTGCTTGTGGGGGTTCTCAAAATCATCCCAGACACTCATTACAAAATATGAAAGACTTATCACCATGGGAGCTAGGAATTGTAAAGACAAAATGACCATAAACTATCAAACAATTTGACTGTTTCCAAGGTTTCCCATTCTGTCTTTACTTTGTGCTCATTCTTTTGCGGGGGGTACCAGGAATTCAACTCAGGACCTCCTGCTTGCCAGGCGGGCACTGTGCTACTGAGCTATATCCCCGGCCCGTTGTGTTCATGCCTTTTGTCCACTTAAGCTGACGATAAGCCATAGCAGTACCATGGGTCTAGAAAATTTTTCTGAGAAAAATATTAGAAGTATGAAGTCCTATTCACTATTTTTTTCTTGCAAGATGAAAAAAGCTTACTCAGTACTCCATTTAAAGATGAGACACCTCAGTCTAGCTCACAAATCAGCATTTCAGGTGCATATAACTTGAGAAACACTGTTAAAGAAATAAATTACTGCAATAATTCCCAACTTTTCCCCCATCAAATATGCCTTTTATTGTTTTTTTTCCCCAGGGACCTTGTTCTGAATTATTTTTGCCCTCTTCAAATGTACACTAATATTACTGCCCTGAGTTATTACCATTCCAGCCAAAGGCAAAGAAACTTGATGCTTCTGTCAGATATTCTGTCACCAAAAAATGTCCAGTGTCCATTGCATTTTCCAGATTTTTGGTGCTTGTCATTAAGTTCCCATCCCACTTTCCCCCAGGGTTCCAGAGGCTCTCAGCTTGGAAACCATAGGCCAGTGAATGGGGAATGACTCCTTCACCCTCAAGATCCACTCAGCTCTTTGGGCGGAGCCCCGCCCCCCCTTACCAGTATTATAGAACACAGTGTTGACGAATGTGCAGTTTCGGAAGAATGTGTTGCTGGATGTGACGTCCTCGAAGTAACACTCCTCAAAGAGGGAATCTTCAAAGGACACTGACTTCAGACGTAGCCCAATGAACCTGAAAGGGCAGGATGATGAAACCCTGCCTGCTCATCTTCATCCCCTCTCCCCGTCAGTAGAGTAATGGGCATCTTGGCATTGAGGAGAAAACACCTTGCCTTGAAATCTCAGACTCATGAGATAAGAAGTAAAGTTTAACAGTCGCCACATACTTGTCATTGAAGTACTGTCCCCCTCGGTGGATCTGATTTTCCAGAGTGAAGTTGAAAGTCACATGCTCTACACGCTCCCCAGGGAACACTTTGGTGCGGGCCGCATAGTCCACGGCCTGCAGATGGCGGATCATGTCAGGAAACCAGACAGTCAGACCATAGTAGCTGGAGAATCAAGAGCAGTGGAATCAGACAGGGCAGACTCAACACCAGAACCAGACAGTCCATACTGAGCCAGAAACGGGCCTGCATCAGGGCATTCCTCACCTTCAGCCTCATCTCGCACTCTTCCCTTCCCAACTGCTGTGGTTCTAGGGACTTTAGGGTCCTTTCTGCCATCTACCACACTGTTTCCTTTTTGGTTTGGTTTTTGAGAGACAGGGTCTTGCTATGTAGTTAGGGTGGCCTTGAACTCATTATGTAGCCAGGCTGGCCTCAAACCCATAGCAATCCTCCTGCCTCAGCCTCCCAAGTACTACCACACTCTTTCATATCTCCCAAGCATCTGTTCTTCCCTCTGCTTAAAACTTTCCCAACCCTCACTCCACAGACTCTACCTCCCATTCATCCTTCAGAATTTGGGTCCCCAACCCCAAGTCCCAAGTGCTCCACAGTACTTTACCCTCCCACCATGGCCCATCACCCGCTTCATAGCAGGATTTATCTACTTTGACTGGGTCACACCCACTTCATCTCAGCACAGTACCCGTGCAGAACAGAAATGGAATCTCGGTCAGATACAAGCATGTGCTGAAGGAATGAACACAGTAGAAGAGCTGGATGGAGCAGCAGGGGGCATCTGAACAACACCCTCTCCTTGGTTTCCATTTGTCCCCTCCATTCAAGCTTTCTGCACCTCTCTCCCAGCCCACCCGCCACCAGGACCACCACATGGCTCCCACCCCGCTCACTCCTCACCTGAAGGACATGGTGAACCACACACCCATCATCATCAGGGTGATGCGTCGATATTCTGGACCGAAGCAGGAGAGGAAATTCCCCCAGACCTACAAGGGACCAAACCAAGGCAGAAGGTGGCTGTGCTGACTTTTAGAACACACAGATCCCCACCTTTCCGCCCTACCCCCATACGAGTCTACCGTCCCCGCTCACCCAGGCTCAAGCCCTGCCTTCCTCGCCACCTCTCCCGGTCCCTTCTCTGCCTTCATGTCCCATCCCCTATTACCTGCCCCCCCAGGCTCAAGGCCCGGACCCCCCAGCGCTGGTACCAGGTCCCTGTGTCTGACTGGATCTCAATCAGTTCATCCTCCTGATGAATTGTCTTAATGTGAGTTACCTGAGGTGAAGAGAAGGAATGAGCAGTCACACACACTGTTTTTCCCAAGCCTCAGTGGGGCCTGCCTCAGTTTCCCTGCAGTGGCAATATCATGGGGCAGAGTGTGGTCTGAGGTTTCCAGAAAAGTAGGTGGAGGGAGCTCAAGAAAAGGGCCCAGTGGGGGCTGGGGCTGCAAAAGCTTGGCGGTTGGGTGGGGAGGTCAGTGGCTTACTGAGAATACTCGTTCTGGATGTCCCTTGGCACGCATGTTGGTGTCATGAACCTGCTTCAGCACCATCCAGGCTTCGTCATGCTTTCCATTCTAGAGCCACAGACACAACCCCACACCACAGTCAGCCCTCCCTGACCCCGGCTCACAGAGCTCCTCCCTCCAACCTGGCTTCTGGAGACCCAGGACACAAAAAAGCCCAAGCCCACCCACAACCCCTGGCCCGTGGCCGTGTATCATCCCAAACTGGGGTGTAGCAGAACATAACCAGACCTGGGCAAGATCTGGGGGTAGGGGACTGCCCTGGGACACATGCAAATGTGGGTCTTAGGGATTCCCTGAGAATGGAATGGAAAGAAAACCAGAAGGGGAAGGGCAAAGAGGTGGGGACTTTTCTTGAGCCATAAAGTCAGGGCCAGACCCAAGACCCATGCCTGCAAATCTTAAGCCAACCATAGTTGAACATGTTCCTGATGTTTGTGCCTACAGGTTCCCTCTAGAGATGCATTCTGAGACAAAGAAGCAAGATCAGCGCCCCCGAGTACAGACCCTTGAGGAAGGAAGGCAGCCAGACAGGACCACACCAACCCACAGCAAGTGACTAAACACAGAGGCCCCTGCTGCCCGCCATCACCCACCCTACCCAGCACGGCCCCATTCACCTCCAGGAAGAAGCGGGGACTCTCAGGCTGCGTAGTCAGAGCCCCAATGGCAAACACAGAGGGAAATGCGCAGACGAGGACAAAGACTCTCCAGCTATGGAACTGGTAAGCAGAACCCATCTGAAAACTCCACCCTGGCAGAGACAGAGTCATAGCATCAGCAGAGAAGCCAGAGGCTGGGGCTCCTAGCGCAGAAGCACAGGAGAAGAGGGAGGTGGGCCGGACTGGGGTGCACCCTGGGGACGGCTCACCATAGTGGGGAATGATGGCCCAGGCCATAGCAGCTGCGTACACTCCACCGATCATCCAGAACATGCAGAGCCAGCTCAAGTGCTCCCCGCGCTTCTCCTGGGCCAGAAACTCCGAGAAATAGGAGAAGACGATGGGGATGGACCCCCCAATCCTGACAGCAGTGAGAGTGCAGTGTTTTTGGTCACTGTTATTCTCAGTTTCAGCGTAGAAAGTGCCCATCTCCCTGATCCCCTGCCCCAGTGCTCTGAACTCCCAAGCTCCTTCCATCTTCCAGGGTTTTGTTTTTCTGGGTTGGGTTGCTTTGTTTTGCTTTGCTTTGCAGTACTGGGATTGAACCCAGGACCTGGACAATGAGCTACATCCCTAGCCCTTCTTACTTGTTGAGACCAGGTCCCACTAAGCCACTAAGTGGCCCAGCCCGGGCTTAAACTTGTGATCATCCTCCTGCCTCAGCCTTCCAGAGTCCTGACCTTATAGGTATGTGTCATCATGCTGGCCCCTGCCATAGCTTTTTTTTTTTTAGACAGAGTCTTACTAGTCAGGCTGGCCTTTAACTCACTATGCAGCCCAGGCTGTCCTCAAACTCATCGTGATCCTCCTACCTCAACCTCCTGAGTCTTGGGATTGCAGGCATGTGCCACCACACCTGGTCACTTTTGTAGCTTTCAGAGACCCCCAACTCACGCATAATGTCCCACAAGCTTCTCTCACTGCCAACCATCAATCGCCCCACCCTTGGTTAGTGGTAAGCAGGCAGGTGGGTCTCAGAGGAAGGAGGGGAATGAACATTAAATCTTGAAGGTGACTAGAGTCAGTGGGAAAGGATGATAGTTGCAGAAAAGGGACCCTTTCCAGACAACAAAGATGGGCAATGAACGGCAGGAGGGCACAGGCCAGAAAAGAATAGTTAGGGCCTGCAGGAGCTGACGCAAACAGAGGTGTGGAGAGGGCAGATTCAGTTGTTGCCGTGTGCATGTTGTCAAAAGCAGGGAATGTGTAGTCTGGAGGAGATAACTCTAGGGCTCACAGGAGCCCAGGGCTGAGGCCAAGGCCCATCAGGCCTCCCTGTGGAGAAAAGCTCGGGAACAGGACTAACATGGAGTGCAGGCTCAGGACTGGACCAGGCATGGAAGGGCATCCTGGACGGCAGCAGACAGGCCCAGGGCAGGGGAAGCCTAAAGATGGTGGCAGAAGAAAGGAATTCATTCATTCATTCATTCAGCTCACACATATTTTAATATCTGGTCACCTAGCATTATGCTGGGCCCTAAAGAATAACAGTGACCAAGGTACAGGCCTGGCTTCAAAGGGCTCAAGCTGTGGATACTCACCCAACCCCAGAAAGGAGGCGGCAGAAGAGGAAAGTGCCATAACCCTGGACGAAGGATGAGAAGAAGGCGAAGACGCTGTTGACTGACAGTGAGATGAGCAGACACTGTCTCCGACCCAGCCGATCAGCCAGACCCCCCCAGAGGAAGGCTCCCACCATCATGCCCAGGTAGACAATGAGGCCTGGAGGGAAGAAGAGGACAGGCAGGAGGGCCGTGAGCAGCCCGCCTCAGTTCTCCCTTTAGCTGAGCATCTCTAGCTGAAACTACAGCAGAACCAATCAAGGGTCTGATGAACTGCTAGAAGCCAAGTCTACCCAGAGATAAAAGCAAGTGAGAACAGGATCTGCCTGCATGCCCAGATCCTCCCTGGGTCCTCTCTATCCTCCCTTAAAGCAGCAGGAGGTCTCTCTTTTATTCCTTGGTATATGTGCTGCTGAAGTGAAGTGAGCACATCTCTTTTATTCCTTGGGAAAGGGGCTCAAATTTCTTTCATCTTCCCAGGAAATTCCCCACACAAATCCATCCTTCAATCCCAGTCCCAATGCTTCAGGTCCTAAAACTCCCCAGATTATTGTTTCCTTCATCAAATCAGAACTGGAATTGATTTTTAAAATCATCTACTCTGCAAAGCGCCTGCCTGGCAAGCGCAAGGTCGTCAGTTCGGTTCCCGGTACCGGAGAAAAACCAAAAAAATAAATAAATAAAATAAAATAAAATCATCTACTCTGTAGGGCATGGTGGCATATACTTGTAATCCCAGCACTCGGGAGGCTGAGGCAGGAGGATCAGTGTGAGTTGGAGGCCAGCCTGGGCTACAAAGTGAGTTCACAACCACCCTGAACTACATAGTAAAACTTTGTCTCAAAATGCCAAAATAAATAAATTAATTAAATTAAATCATCTACTCTAAACTTTGCATTTTACCCAAACTCAGCCCCTGGGAAGAGATCTATCCAAGGCATAGCAAGGCCTCCATCTTTTCTCAGTGAGTCTAGAGGCTCCCCGGGTCCCCACCAGGACAGGCCATCAGACACCACCCGCCTCCTTGAACACTCCCAAGTGTGGACGAGGGACTTGGGATCCCTACCCTCACCACCCCAAACTGATCCTCCCATTTATCCCAGAGAGTTTGAATACTGGCTTCATGTTCCCCATAGGGAAAGGAAACCGGGTAGCAAGAGTGAAGGCTATGAAGAAACATTAAGCCCAATGTGGCGGCACATGCCTGAATCCCAGCATTTTGGGAAGCTGAGGCTGGAGGATTACAAGTTTGAGCCCAGCCCGGGCCACTTAGCAACTTAGTGAGACCCAGTCTCAAAACACAAAAATGTTTAAAAGAGCTTGGAATGTGGCTGAGAGCAAAGGCCCTGGAGCTTAATCTCCAGTACCACAACAAAAAAGAGAGAAGAAATACTAAACGTAACCCATCCTGCCATCGCCACGTCTTGCAGAGCTAAGCAGACCACCATCTACCCAGCCATCAGCCCAAGTCCCAGGCCAGCTGCTTTTCCCCAAGCCCCTTTCATACACAGCCTCACCGACACAGCTCCCAAAGAGGGTGCGAGGGGACAATGTACAGAGGCACCCCGGGCCCTGTGGACAAGGCTTGGAAGCAGGGGCCGAGGGAGCCCAGTAGGAAGGATTAGAGCTATTCCCAAGATCAAGTGTGACTCCAGGTGTTTCTAGATTGGGACAGCGCCGGACTGGAGCACCCCCAACGTGTCTTACCCAGCATGCCCTTGTTGGAGTCAGAGAGGCACATGTCTTTCTCAGCACTGGGCAGCACGAAGCCCACGACGAAGACCTCAACACCGTCAGCCATTAACGCCAGGCCAAGCACAAAATAGAGCGTCCACTGAAAGCGGCCATGGCCACACTCCCGTAAGATGGCTTCATACTGCTGGGCCAGTTCTTCCCGTTCTTTCCGCCGCTGGGCCTCCCCACGGCCCCCAGGAGGGCCTTCCCCATCGCTCAAGCCCCCTCTCACTCCAGCCAGGGCCGCCCCATCTGCCATCCGCTCGCCTTTGCCCCCAGACTCTGCCCGGGGAATACCCTGATATTCGCCCTCATAGATCTCATCATCCTCATCATGGCCCTCAGTGGCATCACTGGATGCACCACCTTCCTCCTCATCCTGGGCCCCTTCTCCACGGTAATAGCCATCCGCAGGGGCAGGGTAGTCATCGTCATCCTCTTCCTCCTCGAAGCGAGAGTAGGATCTGCGGGAGTATTCATCCTGGACTCTGTCCAGGCCTTTCGCCACCTTCTTGGTCGCATGCTTCTTGACTTCCTTGGCAATGTCTTTGGCCCCACGGATGAAAGCTGCCCGATCTCGGAAGCCTTCTTCCATGATGGGGCTTCAGGGCACCTCCCCAGATCTGCTTCACTTTCCGCTCCTTTCAGCTTTTTGCTCAAGGGTGAAGTTATGTTCCAGTATCTTTGGGCTCAAAATAAGAGAAAATAGGACCTGGCCAGTGAGTGTCTAGGAGTGGAAAGGAAGACAAGGATGTCTGGTTTCCACCCAGTTCAGTATGGTGAGCAGGGAAGGGAACAGGAGACAGAGGAAGGGAGGGGAGGGGGAGCCAGGATAACACAGGAAAGGCTTCCTGCTTCTCTCCCAGGAACCTCTGGAGACCTAGAAAAAGAAAGACAAAAAGGAAGTTGTGCATCCTAAAATGGTGAAGGCCAATAAAGTAACGCTCTCAACCCTCAGTCCCACCTGGACCATGTAGCAAAGAGATGGTCTCCTTGCTTCAGGCCACCACGAGTAAAGAGGGATGATTCTCTGGGCCAGCTGTGGGGCATTCACATATTAGTCCCCTTTCTCTGACCTTGGAAGCCAGGCCCAATCACAACCACCTATCCTGAGCCCTCCTCTGGACCCCCTACCCTATATCAAGTTCAGACCCCTTGCTTTATTCCCAACCTGCAAAGAACAAAACAGAAAACATGAGAAAGCAGAATTCCTTGCTCTAGTCTGGTCTGGGGTTCCTGGGTACAGAGCTTGGGAAGATACATAGCAGCAAGCCAAGCCCTCTAACCAATGGCCTTCAGTCCCCTGGTGTCAGCTGGTTCTTTCCTGAGGTTCCAAGTTTATAGGCCTTCCAAGGAGGACTTTCTCCCAACACAGCCTACTGTGAGCTACCAGAGTCAGACAGACTTGGCCTTGACTTTCTGCTCAGCATTTACTTGCTAAGCAATCACAGGCATGTCCTAAACATCCAGGGCTCCGTTTCCTCATAGTTAAAAGAGGGCAAAGTAAGAATTAAACAACATAATGCATATAAGCTCCTGACCACGATACCTGGCACATAAAAAGTGACACATATTAGTTCTTACTATCAAGGCGACTGTAATATAAAGAAATGCCCTATACTACCTCACAAGGTCCCTCATCAAAAGCCATCTCTGGATGTTCTTCAGGGTGAACGTCAAGGAGAAGGGGACATTAGAAAAGGATGTTATCAAGGAGAAGGTTGGTTCAGTGCAACACTTGGACAGACCATCTAAATTGAAATCCCAAACTCTGCTACTTTCTCACAGTTCTTAGGTTACTTAATTTCTGTAAGTCCTCGTGTCCTTACATTTAAACTGAAAACAGGTCAGGCATGGTGCTGTACACCTGTAATCCCAGCACTCAGGAGGCTGAGGCAGGAGGGTCGTTGCGAGTTTGAGGCCAGTCTAGACTACAGAGTGAGCTCAAGACCAGCCTGAACTGCATAGTGAGACCCTGTCTCAAAAACACAAAAAATAAAAAATAAACTGAAGACAATTAGCCAGGGATAGTGGTACACAGCTGCATTGCCAGCACTCTGGAAGCCTGAGGCAGGAGGATCACAAGTTTGCCCAGTCTGGACAACTTAGTAGAGCGATCCTATCCCAAAACTGAAATAAAAAAGGGGCTGGAGATATTTATTGGCATAAGCATGAGAATTTAATCTCACAGAAGATGTGCTATAAACATCAGTTTTCCCCTTCCTATATATGGACAAGTGTGAAAGAAGCAGGAAGCAGCAAGGTACAGTTAGGAGGTCATACTTATGTGCTGCTGCCCAATATCCTCCCAAGAACCCTCTGTGTTTAAATTAATTCCACATTATCTCCCTTTAGACAGACACAGGAAGACCCAAAAAATGGAGTCTTGGAACCTGAGTAGAGCGGACAAGAGGGAAGATCAAAAGCTAAGAAGGTGATGACTGGCTGCTGCCACCTTCCCTCAGAATGTCATGTATGGTCCTCCTAGCACTGGTGAGGGTGGGACCGGAAATGACTGATCAGGGGAAAACATTTTCTAATGCGAGGGTCTAAAGTCCACAGTTGCACCTCATTCCTCCAGGGCCTCGACTCCTAATCCCCCTTAATCCTTTCTGCTTCTTCTCTAGAAGTCGAAGAAAAAGCAGTCCACAAATACCGCATTGCGTAGGCAGCTAGTGGAGAAAAAAGGGGGCCTTGAGCCTCCCCACAGAAAAGACTTTCTCCAAAGGGAGACACAGGATAACCTTCTTCCTTCACAGAAACAGAAGATGCAGGCCTACCTTCAGATCAGAGAGTATCCCCTAAAAATACACTGCCTCCTTCTGTTCCCACCCATCCAGGGCCTTCATTAAATCAATCTCTCTCTCCCTCTCTCTCTGTCTCTCTGTCTCTCTCCCTCTGTCTCTGTCTGTCTCTGTCTCTCTCTCATTGCGGCTGAAGAGGGTAAGTGATACTATGTGATTCAGAGAGAAGCACTGAACAGCACAGCGTTACACCCTCAGGACAAATGGAAGCAGTGGACCACAGTGACCAGAAGCAGTGACCCCTGTGTCACCTTCTTTTCTTCATGGTTCAGGGCCCAACCATCCTCCATGAAAGAGAAGGAACTGTGGAATTCCCTCAGTGCAAGGCAATCTGCATGCCTCTCTTTTCATTTCCTACCAAGATCCCCACAATCCGCCAGGAAGCAGGTGGACCCTATGTTTGTTGACACTGTTTACCCCTGAGAGGTACATGCAGTCTAGAGCAGGCTCCCACAGCCACAGCAGGACATGATGGCTCAACAGCCAGCTCCCTCCCAGCCAGCAAGCCCAGGAGGGAGAGAGAAGACACATTCTTTTCGCTGGTGAGGAAGTGGTGCTATTTTTAGTCCCCAAAGCAGCACAGAGTGGCTAAGCCTGTAGAAGAGAGACAACACTTGGAGAGGTGGAGGCCAAAGGAGACAAAATTCAGGTTTACAAGGGCCCTTTAGGGTGGCTGACCAGAAAAATGTGCCCAGATTTTCTGCAGCTGGTAGAAAGAGTGGGTGGGGGGCTCCCCAGCAAATGCTTCCTTCCTTCCAACTCTCCCCTGTCCATCAAGGGCCCTTACAGGGCATCACTCAGATCTCCCACTCACCCTACCCCAGGTGCAAGGTCATTAAGAAGCAGTCACTTGTCAGAACATTGGGGGGGGGGACAGAGCGCGCCTCCCCATTACAGCTAGATGGTCAGGCTCAGCTCCCACCCCAGGACCAACACAGGTGCACCTCCCCTCCCCACAGTCTACCCCTGGGTTAGACAGATGGGACCCTCCACAGTTGGGGGGTTCAGCTGAGAATGCACACAGGGAGGCAGAGGCAGAGATGCAGGAAGACACCTCCACAGCACACACTCAGAGACAGCCACTGCCAGCATCTGCAGCCACCCTCTAACCCCATCTTGCCTCAGCCCTGGTATGAAAGGCGAGCCCCAAGAGTTTACTAAGCCATTCCGCCAAGAACCACCCCACCCTTGGTCCTGCTGCTGGACAAGTGCCCAGCCTTACTCAGCAACCCCTGCCAGTCACTGCCTCCAGCCCCCACCCTCTGTGCCCCCAACACCTGATCTTCTGCCATCTCTTGTCCCCCGATGTTTCCATTCTTCATTTCCCTGCCCTCATCCTTCACCTGCCCTCCCTCCACTCCATTCCCCGCAAGTCCAGACGAGCAGACGGAGGCACATGCACTCTCTGGCCACAGCCAAGGTCATTTATCATTCATTCATGGGGGGCGGGGGCACGGTGAGCAGGGGACTGGAGTTTGACAGAATCACATCCTAACAACCCCTCCCAGGCCGATCTCTGAAGAGGGCAGTGGGGACTCGATAAAGAAAAACATATATATATATATATATATATATATATATATATATATTCCCTTAAACACACAACAACAGAAATAAATGCTGGTTTCCCAAAGCCTCACAAACCCCCCCACCACTACAGCTAGGACGGTCACCCTCCCCTTAAGCAAAGCATCGGAGGATAAAATGGCTGCAAGGCAAGGAAAGGATGCTTCTGCCAGGGTTGGATGGAGGTGACGGACTGAGAGAGGGTCTCACCTGGGCTGGGTTCCCCGGGTAGGGAGTCGGGGCGAGGGCGGGGGTCCGGCCGCGGGGCTGAGGCGGCAGCCGCGACTGCTCCGGGTCCCGGGGAAGCGGCACTGCAGACCTGCCCCCCCGCCGCGCGCGCGCTCCCGGCCCGCTCCCCCCCCAGCGCGCTCCCGGCCCCGCCCGCGCGGCTGAGCACCGGGAGAGACCATTGTGGGGGGAGGGTGGCGAGAAAAAGAGGTTGGGGAGAGGACTCAGGGCACAGGGGAAAAGGACGAAGGGGTGGAGGGGGTTGTCACAGGGACAGCTGGAAGTGACACACAGCCCTTCCCAGATCATTCCTCGTAAAAAAGGAAAGAAACTACAGAAAGACAAATAGTAATTTTAGGGAGACAGAAAAGGAGGTGGTGGTAAATGAGGAAACAAGGCAGCCCCTTCCTCGGCCTCTCAGCCCCCAGAGGGCAGAGTCCAGGAATTTCAGGGGCCCCTGCAGCCCGGGAAAACACCTCCCTTCTTCTTACCCACTGCTCTCCACCTCCTTTCGTGCAGCTCCCTTCCACACCCAGAGTGCTCAGACCCCAATTCCTGGATCTCTTAGAGAAAGCAAGGCTGGCACAGGGTGGTTTCTACCCTGAACAGCCAGGGGCAGATCCCTTGATGCCTGCTCTCTCCGCCAGAAACCGTGCTGATTATTTATCCGGAGTGCAGACGGCATCCGCTCATCCTCTCATTCACTCTCGGGTCACAGAGGTGAGTACCGGAGATGGGAGGAGTATTATAGGTCTGACCAACTGGACATCCCCCTTGCATTCATTTGCTCCCACCACTCAAAAAGGGTCCCCTCAGTCCCCTTCACTGCGTTCTTTTACTCCTCTACACACACACACACACACACACAGAGTTCTAGAGCAGGGAAGAACGAATTTTCGATTCTTTAATCTTTCCTTTATCCCTGTAACCAATAACCGGACTCAGAGATCCAAGATATATCTCCTGGTCACACAGACGATCATCCCTCTCCGGGAAGGAGACTGTAGGTGCTGTTTGAGGATGTCCATTCTGAGTGTATCTACCCCAGGTAAGGCCTTGGGATGTTTTGCACAAACACTGATCAACACATTGTTGGCTCTTGGCTAAGTTCCCTGCCTTTGTGCATCTCAGTTCTCTTGTCTGCAGAATAAGGTGTATTGTAGTAGAAGCTGCACCAGGTTCTTTTCAGTCCTAGTAGTGTACGATCTGCTTTACAAAATGTAGAAGTTTCAGAATGCTGGAAAACATTGTCTAAACAAGGTTGGCAGCCTGTGTCCCAACAGATCTCACAGGTGGTATTTGGCATGTTGAGCTTACGACTGGACTTGGGTTTTATATGATCCAAAGCTGAATTTTGCAAATATTAGTTTGTGCCAACAAAGTTCACAATTTATTAAAATGTAAAGCCATAATACATACTGTAAAAGTTTAACTGTCATTCAGACCGAAAAGAGTACATGTATTAGTATGTTCCCTAAAGCCAAACCAAAATCATGTCAATGTCTAAATGCACAATGATAGAACCGAACAGGATTTGTATCTTTAATGGCATCTGGCCATCCCCAATAAGGAATCATGCCAATGGGGCCAGAATACTCTTCTTGGCAACAGTTCTCTACCCCCACTTCTCTGCTACGGGCAACCTTGCCAGTGCTCCTAGACTACTTACTGTGATGGCTAAAATACTCTTTCTAGGATGCACTTGGAACACTTCTGCCCACATGGGCCTCAGGGACTCTCTCTTTACTAGAATTTCAGTGCTCATCCCTCTTCAGGTCGAGATATTTTTTATTTAAGCATGTTACTATTTCCAACAGGGTTATAGCCAAGTCCTGCTGGCAGGAAGCCATTTCTTCTCTTTAAGGTGATTTTGTATATTCTCCACGGATACATACTTGCTAAAATAGAAATATTGCACTTCGAAGAAAAACTTTTCTCCTCTTTAAATTTCGGGAAAATGTAATCATTTCCTCTAGATGCCACAGCTTCATCTTCCTCACCACCACTTCCTCAGCTCCCATGGCCAGCACTAATGTGAGTGTTCCTAGGGGCTCTGCCCTGGGCACCCCCAGCCTCTTTTTTTCCTCCCTTCCCCTCACCTCAGGCAGCCTTGTAGCTTTAACACTGTGTCTACCTTGATGGTTCCCACATTTGACCTCTATTCCAGACATTCCCAAATCAGAATGTCCCATCTACCTACTCGGTATCACCACATGGATATCTCAGCACTGGGGCAGCTAGAACTCCCAGGCCAACAGCCCCCAGCTGAAGCAGCTTCCTCCCTTTTACCTCATGTTTTCAAGTAGGTTGTGTGTGCTGTGACAGGAAAAAGATCTGAGAAGCATGGACCTGCAGGAGCTCCCCAGCTGGCTCACACCAAACAGCACTGTGCTGAACACTGCATGTTTCTGCCCAGGAACACCCCACCCTCCTGAGTGGAGCTTTTCCTCCACCGCCTAAGCAGCCTCTTTCCCTTCTCTCCCAGCCCACCCCAGCCCACCCCACCCCCACCCCACTGGGGATGATTAACTCCCAGGCCTTCACAGTCAGCTACATCTCCAGCCCTTTTTATAAATTGTTGCTAAATTGGCCAGATTGGCATCAAACTTGCAATCCTCTTGTTTCAGCCTCGCGGAGTGCTAAGATTACAGGTGTGAGTCACCATGCCCAGTTACCCTTCAGGATTAAATTCAGACATCGATTTTTTCCTGGAAGTTTTCCTGAATTTTCATGCCAAGTTAGACGCCTTTCCTTCTGCTCTGAAAATATGTTGTTTGAGTAACATTTTATGTATTTTTGTTGTTGTTGTTTGTTTTTTGAGTCAGGGTCTCACTATATACTCCAGGCTGGCCTCAAACTTGCTACAATCCTCCTGCCTCAGCCTCCCAAGTGCTGGGAATATAGGGATGTGCAACCGCATCAAGCTTGTGTGTCACTTTTGACAGCAGAACTTGTTCATCCTTGTATCCTAAGATGCCACCAGGCTCACCTTTCTTGCCTAGAGTTTAGGAGAGTTCACAGCTATGTAAGCTAAAGAAGGGAGACTATAACACCACTTTATGTGGCAGACAGTGAAGAGATAATGGGCCACTGGGTCTGTCTAGCTGCTGAAGAGTCTTGCAGCACAGATTTAAATGTTAGGGAAATCAGGTTTGGAAGAGCTGAAAATGGGAAAAATAGGAATAAGACACAAACTCCTTAAGATGTCTGATGGCAAAGAACAGAAAACAAACAAAAACTGCACATTTACTGAAAATGAACATTTACTGTCTCAACTTACTCATGTTTTCCAATTATAGGAGATACTTGGTTCCAAATGAAAGCCAATTACACTACCTTTCATATTCTCTGCCTCCCCTCAGTGGTATGGTTATGTAGTCGAGGCTGCCCTTGAACTCACTAGGTAGCCCACGTTACTTCAAACTCGAGGTGATCCTCCTCCCTCAGCCTCCTGAGTGCTGGGATCACAGGCATGCATGTGCCACCACACCCAGTTATCTTTCCATTTTTTAACATAAGCAAATACACATATGTGCTGACCCTCAGATAAGACAGCACACCATATATATTATTTTCTTAATTTAATATAACCCAGAGATCTCTCCACAACAGTATGCAGTGACAGCAAATCTTTCAGAGCTTTCAATATAGGTGCCACAGGTTCACCAACACTAATACACAGCATCTTTTTTTTTTTTTTTTGATGCTGATTGAACTCATGACCTCATGCATAATAAACATTCTACCACTCAGGTACACCTTCAGCCCTTCATCATTTTTCTTACAGGTGCATAGTACTAGACTGTGTGGATTTACCAATTCAACCAACCCCTTACTGATGGACAAGTTGTTTCCAATCTACTATTTCAAACAGTGCTGCAATGAAACTTTATGCGTGTTACTTCAGATTATTGCCAGCAATACCTAGGCACTTCACTTCTCTTCTCAGTTTCAATATAACACCCCCATGTCAGAAGCCATAAGACAAGCTCTATATAAGGAAACAAGTACTCTAGTACACAACAGAGACCAGCTATTGCAGTAGCACATTACAGATCAAGCCTTTACAATGTACATACTGGCTGAACACAGCAACATATGCCCTGTAAGTCCAACTGTTTGGGAGGCTGAGGCAGAAAGATCACAAGCTCAAAATCACCCTGGGCAACTTACTAAGTCCCTGTCTCAATTCAAAAAAAATAAAAACAGCTAGAGATGTAGCTCAGAGATAAAGTCCTTCTGGATTCTATCCCCAATTCCACCATAAATAAACAGCCCTGCACCTTACCTTACCACTCCTCACAACACCCTGTCATTTCTTCTTCAAAATTATTTACCAAAGAAAACAAAAAGAATAAACAAAGAGTAGTTTTATTTTCTCTGTGCACTTGCAAAACACTTAGGATCAACATAAAAAAAAAAAGAAAAACCTCCTGTGAAGAAATGTACATTAAAAAGAGGAGGTGGGGGAGCCTGAGAGGGATTTATGCCTCAGCCACAAGAAGCCACAGCAACTCTGATTGGTCCAAAAAATCGAAGAAAAGATACTGGGGAGGAATCTCCAGAAGAGGAGGAAAGAAAACAAGAATCTACTGAGGGAGAGGGCCCCGAAGAGGGCCTCGAGGAGGAACTGGAGGCCGGGGAGTAGGTCTGGGCGGAGGCAGGGGCCCCCGCTGGTAGCCATAAGGAGGTGGTCGTGGAGGCCCAGTGTACCCGTGAGGGGGCATCAGTGGAGGAGGCCCACGCATTCCATGTGGTGGCATAGGACCTGGGTGACCTGCACGGAGAGAAAAAGTTAGTACAAGTGACACATGGGAGACAGTTGATATTGGGAGAGATAACAGGGAGCAATGAAAAGGGATACAAAAAGTAAAAGAAAAGCACAGGACACAGAGTGTGCAAAGAAAGCTATGAGGCTCTATGTGAGACAAGGAAGTGGCTGACTCTACTCACCCATGGGAGATCCAAATGGAGGCCCTCGGGGGGGCATGCCCATGGGAGGAGGTCCAGGGTGAGGCATTCCAGGTGGTGGCCGGGGCGGTGGCTGTCCCCCAGAGCCTGGAGGCCCAGCGTGAGGATGTCCTAAGCCATGGGGGCCATGGTGGGCCAGCTGCATCTGAGACATCCCTATGAAAATAAAACCGACACAGGGGAGGAGATGGAAGAAGACAGAGAAGAGGGCACAGACAATGAAGAAAGGAAGAAACCAAAATGACAAAAAGGTAACCTTTAGAGAAGGCTACAGAAAACAAGGTTGGTGAAAAGTGCCCCTATCCTTGACCTCATCCCAACAGTACAAACCAAGCACACAGAAAGCCAATTCCTCACCCACCTCACTTGCCCCTGATTCAGGCACTGTAACAGTGATACAAAAACATGCTAACAAGTACAGGGATTGGCTTGCTGTTGACAGGACTAGGAAAGGTAAGAGACACTACCTGAGCAAAGATCTAATTCTAAAGGATGAGTAAGAATTCTTCAGGAAGGAAGTGGGAATAGAACACCCCCCAGGCAGAAAGACCGGGATGTGCACATCACAGGTGTGTCGAACAGCACACTGTGCTCCAGAAAATACCAGACACTCGGGGATTAGGTGCAACACTCAGTCACAAGAGTAACAGGCAAGAGGTTGATCAGGAAAAGCTCTAACTGCCACAGTAATTTGTTTGGGTTTTACTATGTAAGTAATTTAGAAGAAACCAACAGAAGAATTTCAAGACAGTGTGTGAACATTTACCTTAGAGAAACTATCCTGAAGTAAATAACTGGTATCAAAATGAAAGATTACTATAATAAATCAAGTATGAAGTAATGAGAAAATAAGAGCCTGAATGAGAAGACTGGCAAGGGGGAGATGTCAGGGAAGTAAATCTTGGTATGAAGAGTGCGAGGATGGGAAACAGTCAAACTCCCACACTATTACAGGAAGAATAGGTTTGAAAGGGAAGATTAAAGCAGCAGGATTATAGGTTTGGCTTGTTAATAACCACGGGCTAGAAGGCTGAGATAGGAGGATCATAAGTTCTAGTCCAGCCTGAGTAACTTGGTGAGACTCTGTCTCAATAAATAAATAAAAAAGGACAGTGCAAAGGCCCTGGGTTCAAGCCCTAGTACATACATGTACATATATACACACACCCATGCACACACAAATCTCCACTGACTACAGAAAGAGATCCAGGACACATCGGTATCTATATAACTGAAACTATGAATACACACTGGACAAGAGAACCAAGCAAAAAATCTAGGCACAAACAGAGAAAAACACATCAAAGGTAGCTGAGACTAATGAATCAGAGAAAGGGTAGCAAAGCCAGACAAACAAGCAAAAGGAGACAAAAATTTCAAAGAGGAAGATATGGCTAATTTCAAGTACAGCAGAAGTTCAACCAGTTAGGAACAGAAGTGTCCCCCAGAGTTAGCAACTGGCTCACTGGAGTGGAACCGGATAACGAAAGTAAAAGTCAAGGATGCAAAGAGTAGAGTGTGTAGACCCCTCTTCAGAAAAAGACCATGTGGAAGTTTTCAAAGTAAAGCATTTGGGATTGTTTTTGTAAAAGAATGTTTGAAGGAAAGAACAGCTTTGGGTTTGTTATCCTTGAGGATGAGCAGTGACACAGTCCCTCTACCAAATTTATCACTCCCTTTCCTAGCAAAGAACACCTACCTGGATGGGGCATCCCAGCTGGTGGGAAGGGGTGAGGATGTGAATGTCCATGACCAGGATGTCCAGCCCCTGGGGTTCCTGCTGATGGGGGACCATGTCCTCCTGCCCCAGGAGGCATAGGTGGTGGGGGCATGGCTGGCGGTATTCCAGGTGGGAGTGCTCCAGGAGGCGGCACTGGTGGTGGGAAGGAGCCAGGAGGTGGCATGCCTACACGGGAAGTGAAAGAAGGAAGATTTGATGGTAATAAAGACAGACAGGCTTGAAAGTGCCTGTCTCAACCTGACCTCTCCAGACAGGGTGAGCTCTTTACAATCCTGCCAGTGCTCTAAAGCCAAAGCAATGTTATGCAACTGAAAAGTCAAGCTCAAAAGAAATACAACAACTTTCTTCACCACCATCTCACTCCACTCCCCTTACTCATCAATCATTGCCTCCTCAATGTCCTACCTTTCAGGGTTTTTTCTTCCTCCTTCCCTTCCCCTCCAACAGCCTCAAGACAAAGATACTTTGAACCAAACACTTTACCTGGTGGAGGAAGCCCAGATCCCAGTGAGGATACCACAGGATTAGGGGCAGAGGGTGGAGGTGGTGCATCGGCAAACAGCTGATGAGGGCGGTCAGCCTGAGAGAGAGGGTTCTGGGCTGCCAGAAGTCGTTCAGCGGCTGAGCCATGGCGCTCACCCTTAGAGTCCTTCTTGAAGGCATAAGACACAGTGATAGGGCGATTACAGAGATACTGCCCATTCATGGCCTCAATGGCTGCATCCGAAGCATCAAATGAAGCAAAATTAATAAAGGCATAACCTTTGGAGTTGCCTGTGTCAGGGTCCCTCATAATCTTGGGTGTTTGTAAGATGACCCCAAAGGCGCTGAAAGTATCATAAAGCAGCTTTTCATCAATCTCTGGGTCCAGATTCCCAATGAAAATGTTGGCCCCTACATCCAGGTTTTTGTTATGAGCTGATGCTTTGTTTACCCTTATTGGCTTCCCATAGAGTTTGATCATGTTCATAATCTTAATGGCATAGTCAGCATCTTCCTCACTCAAGAATTCAACAAAGCCATAGCCTAGAAAAGTGAAGGAGGGAAGGTTAACAACTCAAGTGAAAAGATTCAAAATGGGGCATAACTCATCTAATCTCCAATCACAAAGAACATGAAGCTTACGAGACAGAGTCCTTCACAAACTGTGCACCGAAGCTCAAGGGAAAGCAATCTTTACATTGCCCATTCCAAAACAGTTGCGAGTACTGTCAGGATTTTTCAGGACCTTTTGTCCCCTAAACACACAAATTCACTTCTTGCCAATATACTCACCTTGGTGCTGGCCAGTGACTCTGTCCTTTGGCATATGGGTGTTGACTACTGGCCCAGCCTGGAGAAAGAGTTCCCACAGCAGTGGTTCACTAACCTTCTCGTCAAGGCCCCCCACATACACAGTAGCATCTAGGTGAGAGGGAGGAAGGGGGACGGTTAGGGCAGGGTGAGAATGACAGTAAGGAAGGTGATGGGAACATGACAGAATCCCGGAAGGAGAATTCGGGGTGGGGATGAGGGGGAAAAAATCGTTAGATTAACCACATAAACTTCCTAAGACCTAGAGAATCTTCTAAAAATATCACTTATGTTCTGCTACAGATTTTGTCTTTTTCACTGGGTTTTTCCTTTGTCTTCTTTTCTTTTTGGTGAGCAAATAGAAGGGGACTGGTGACAGAAGCATCACACATACAGGCCCCAGCCTGCACCCAACCACCCGCCCCCAGTAACCGCGGGGACTGGCCTCGCGCCTGCCGAAGGCTCTGGTCTCCCTGGCTGGCGGAAACGCTATTGACGCTAGTAAGGGCATCTTAGCTCCCCAGGTCCACTCAGGGGTGGTCCCTTTCAGTTACCCTGATTCCGTTCAGATATCGGCCCGGCAGCCATGGCGAAAGAGGTCCCGCCGTCTCCAAGAAGCAGCTCCACCCACTGACCTCAGTCGCTACTTCCGCTTCCGGGGCGAAGGCTGGCTTTGGGCGGAGCCGTAGTCGGGGGAGGAGCCGGAAGCGGGCACGGCCATTTTAGGAGCCGCTGAAACGAAGCGGCTTGGGAGTTTTTGGATTGGCCCTGCGATTCCTTTCGATGATGGGGGCGGGACGGAAATTCAGACCCCTTAAAGTGTTGTAGAGATGTTACGAAATTATATTCCTCACAAAAATGCAAATCCAAAAGCTAAAAGAACAGAACTTTTCATATATTTGTAGCCAAGTGATACTTCTCTGGCTACCAGAAGAGGGTGTGCTGAGGAAATGCCCAACCTGGGGACTTGGCTGCCTTCTTAGCAGTCCCCACAGCCCTGAAATGCCTTGGGCTCCAGGTATTTTATTTTCCCACAAGGGAATAGGTTGCCCAGTGTCTGAGCAAGAGTGACGTCTGAGCTTGCCTCGCCCTAACTGCATGGTGGGTGGACTCTGAGTCTCTGAGATGGGGTGTGGCCAAGGCTCAGGGGCTGTTGGAATTGAAGCTCCCAGCCCCATCCTCCAGAACACATCTACAGGAATCTTAATGTGCTCTTGTCGCATCGACCTCTAAATGAAAGACACAGGAAAAAAGACCTTATTTCTCAATTGCATGTGAATACCGCAGCGCCTCACCTGCCCAATTCCCTTCTTTCTGTATCAGTAATACGGTGGGTGATTTCTTCTGCCTGCGGCCCCCAAATTATTCTTTAGCACCTAGCATTCTTCACTCAATCACAGTGAGCAATGCCAGCAAAGTGTTGAAATACTGTGCTTTAATGAGCTCCTTAAATAGAAATGCCACTACAAAAATATACAGTAGAAGGAGAGGATGTCTACCATATCCACCTCATTCCCACAGAAAACTGAGGGAAAAAATAGACACTGAAATTACGGCAGCAGTAGGAAGGGGTGAGAATGAGGTCTCTAGGCCATCTTTTTGGGATTATGAACAGTATCGCTGATCTCATGATTTAACAGCATGATCCAAAAGAGATGGGATTGCCCCGAAAAAAGTGGCAATCACATTTCAGATAGTTTCTGTTTATTCGTTATTCAGATCACAGGAAACAAAACTATCTTTAGGAACCAAAGAAAACAAGACCTGGAGATTAGCACCGCCATCTGCTGTGGAAACCAAGTCTATTAAGTGTGCTTGTGTAAGAGTGGAATGTGAAAACAGCACGGCCAGATATGCAAAACTGCAGTTAAATAGACCCTTTCTCACCCCAGATCCCCTTCGTCCTGCCTTTGACCACGCCAGCAGTGTCAGCGGGACTGGGGAAGAAGGGTATTTGGATCTCTTTTCTTGCAGTGATCTTCAGGAGATATTCTTGATGTCCATTTCTTTAATAACTCCTGAAGGTGGGAGAGTTCATCCTGGAGGCCGGTGATTGTGGGAGCAGAGAGGCCCATCTGGGGATGAAGCAAAGGGTGGAAAGGCATATTATTGCAGCTCTAGCGTTCTCCTTCTGTTATCTGTCCATTACTTCTGCTATCTTTAATGTACTTTCTCCTTCCAACTATGTCCTAAATTCTACTCAGTCTAAGCCACAAGCAGTTTTTCTCACGTGTTACACTCCCAGAGCTGTTCAGTTGGATAACAGGAACAGTACTTCCCTTCCCAGTCCCAGCACCTGCCTTTCCAGCTTTATTCATCTGGTTCTGTGGCCAAACCCCTTCTCCCACTCCCAAGTCCTGTCTTCCTTCTTACCTGGACCTCAGGCCTTCCTCTCAGGTAGCAGCGTTTCCAGAGCCTGACCTGGGGTCCCAGATATCCGGGCAGCAGTAGCCCTGCAGGTAAAGGGCAGGCTCCCCAATGTGTGGGGAGTCCCCACTCCTGGTCAGCCAGGCTTTCAGAGGAGATAGCAGGTCGAGGGAGCCATCGAGAAGAGACTGCCAGCAAGGAGGGATTGTCTCGCCAAGGACAGAGCTGATTCAAGGGGGCGAGGGCCCCTCTAGAGAAGAGCCACACAGAACTAGGGGGTCCAGGAACCATGAGGCTGGGCTAAAGGGGAAAGGGATGTCAACTGACAATTGAAAAAACAGATAACCCTAGTTTCCCCAGTCTGAGTCACAAAGGGGGTATCCAGCTGCCATCCACTCATTGCACTAGTTACTAAAACCACAGGCCTCCCCTCAGAACTTCTGCGCTCCCCGTCAACTCATGTACTGTCCTTATTAGGCTTCAACTAGAGCTCAGAGCTGATTAAAGTTGACTTTAGAGAAACTCATAAAATGTGGGCATGGGACAGGAAGACTAATAAATGGAAACAAGGCAGACAAAAAAGATGCCCTCTGACTTTCTAGGGCTTCTGTCTTCATGGTGACAGGGACTATTAAGTGACAGCTGTGGAAGAGAAGTGAGCTACCTTCCCCTGAGGAATTCAGACATTGTGTCTTTCTACCTTCTAGTAGCATGGGAGAAAGTCAAGAGCACTTAGTAAGTTTAGACATCTCACCTGCTGTCTAGGAAACCAGGAACCTGGGTAATGTTCTGGGGCATAGCCAGGATTATGGAATTGTAGTATCTGCTCATTGCTGTAGCGTAAATTCCAGTCCCAGACAGACAGCTGCGAGTTGACGGAGTTCTCAGCTGGGGCCTGGGAGTACTCTGGGGTGTAAACTTGTGTGTAGGAGTTAAACTGCATAGAGAAAGCAAGAAAACGGAAGGTTAAACAAAACTATATATAATCTGCTAAATCTAGAGACAAATCATGAAATTGTCATCTATTTCAGGCATCAAATATACAGCCAAGGTCTAATTCTGACAATGAGCATTAACTTACCCCTCCCTACTGGTAGATCTCACTTGTCATAAAATACATCAGTGGGGAAAGAAATCAAAACTAGAGGTCACTGACCTGTGCACTCTGCTTCCCACGCTCCCAGGGAGTATTTCTCAGAAAGGTGAGGGTATCAGGAACCCTAACGCTGTCATGAAGAGCAAGAAGGAAAAACTCAGAGAATTCAAACTCAGCTGGAAACTGCTGGAGGAGCTGCCAGACGCAGTCAAGGAAGAGAAGAAACACTGGGGCCTGAGAAGAGAGATATTTAGAGGTCAGAGGGATCCCAGAAACATAGAGGGGAAGGGTAATGGAGATGCAGGGAACAGGGCACCTTAAAGAGGTCAGGGGAGCAAAGTCTGAACCGCAGGTAATGGTGCTGATGGGGCCCCACTGTTTGGCTCTTTAAGCTCAGCCTAACTTTGGGACCCTTCTAACATGATTCACCTTCTGTAGATTATGCTCTGTGCTTTTCTCATCCCCTTACTTCCTTAGCAACACCCCCCCACCCCCCAGACTGTTCTCACCTCCTCATTGGCCCCAGTGCCCCCGAGCCGGGTCAGGAAGGGGTGTCCAGCTGCCACCCACTCTCGCTGCACTAGTGCTTGGAAGCCAAACAGAGTTCGGGCTTCAGGCGCTGAAAGCAGCTGGACGAGTGAAGAGAGGAGGCCATTGAGATCACGATCACCGCGCTCTGGGTGATAAAGAGGAGGAAGGGACAAAGAAGGGAAGTCCAAGAAGCTGGGGCAGGAGAGAATGAGAAGAAGAAATATGGCGAGGAGAAGTGAGGCACAGAGGGGGAAAGTTGGGGGTAGCCGGGGTTGAGAGGGCACATAGAAGTGAAGAGAAAACAAAGAGCTTGAATGATTCACTTCATAGACTCCACCTAGGCTGAAATACCCAGTTTCACATGTAAGAGGCAGAATCAGTTCTTAAACCAGCTTCCACCCTGCTCCAGTTCCCACCCACTGGGGGGAGGGTGCAGCGAGGGGTCAGGACGCCTCAGCTTAGGGAGGCAGAGGGAGTTGTGAAGGACAAAGTTAGAGCTCATGTGTAGGTCCTCATAACAGGAGAGGAGGATGCTAGCACTGAAAGAGGAAGGGAGCCTCACAAATCTCCTCCCCGAACAGTCCAGTCGGGTGTACAGAGGAAACAGGCTGGGCCAAGGAACTCACCTTGAAGTACTACAGAGCGAACCCTGGATGTCACTAAAACGGAAATGTCACTGGCCTTACGAAGACAAGACCTAAAGGAGCAAGTACGGAAGAAGGGGATGAATGATGAGCCTTGGAGAGAAAGGAGTAATGGGTCATGGGATGGAACAGAGATAGACTCTGAAATCCTGCCCCTTCTTCCAAGAAGCAGCAATAGCAGCCTCCTTGGGAATCCAAGCAGTGTTCATGAAAGGCCGTTCAGGAGTCCACGTTAGCAGAAGGTGGGGAAGTTGCAGTTAGAGCTAGGAGAGGAGTACCTGACATAGTCCAGCCACCGCGTTCCTTCCAAGGCTGAGAGCCACTTATCCTCAGACACGGAAGAGTCTGGCAGAGAGAGGGATCAGAAGGGCAAAGAAATCAGAATTCGGGATTCAGGGCTGTAGCCTCATGGGTTAAGAATAAGTCAGGTAATGGTTACCTAAGGGTCAGGGTGGGAATGAAAAGGAAACAGCCATGAGTTTTCTAAAATTAAATTATGTTTTTGGGGATGTAGCTCAGGGGTAGAGTACTTGCCTAGCATGTACAAAGGCCTTAGGTTCACTTCCCAGCACTATTAAAAAAAATTGTTTATGGTTCCTCATCATAAATATATTAAGATTCATTGCATATTTAAGATGGGTAAATTTTAAAACATTTTATAAAGCTGTTTTTTAAAAGAATAAGTTGGGCCTAGAAGACAGACGATCAATAAATCTGTAGGAGATAGAAGTTGGGTGTGGTAGCACAGGCCTGTACACCCAGCACCCCAGAAGGCAGAGGTATGAGGATCCCAAGTAAGAGACCCTCAAAAAATAAAATGGGCTGGGGATGTAACTCTGGGCAGAGGCCCTAGGTTCAATTCCCAGTACTGGGGGGAAGGAGGGAGAGAGACAAAAGACTATGGCTCATTGGGCTAAAGGGTTATAAGCAGACAAAAGGATTAGGGTCAGCAGACCTAGGGGTGAGAGGCCAGAGGTCACTCTCACCAGGCAGGCAGAGGGCCCTCAGCTTCAGGTGGGCAAGCTGGACGTCTGCAAGGCTGGGCAGCTCATCCATCGTGTCTACCAGCACAACATCAGAATGCCCAGCCTGGAGCATTGACTCCACTGCTCTGGAGGAAAAACAGTCCAAAATGAAGGGAAGAATTCTGCCCTGAGCTCCTAACCCCTGAGTCTTCCCGCCAAGCCCCCTCACCTAATGTCCTCCTTGTTAGGGTCACTGGCTGTGTAGAAACCTCCACAGCGGAGAAGATCACTGCCCCCAGGGTGATGCCAGGACAGGCGCTTCAGATGGGTGAGAAGAGGGTCACTGTGGGAGATGCTAGCTCCAAGCTACCCTGGCCTTCACGATGACCTCACAGGGAGCCCCCATCCACATTGTCCCTGTGTCCTCCCATGCCCCACCCCCAGCTGTTACCCTAACCCTTACACTGACCGGTCCACGGCCCTGATGGAAGTGGCCAAATGCTCTCCTGACCTCGTTATCCAGAGTTCTGTTAGGGACCCAGAAGTAACGGGGGAGGCTGTGAAATTGAGAAGGATGTCACAGCTTGGCTCAGTGACCTCATTAAAATATAAAGCTGTTAACACAAGGAATCTGCTTTGGAGATCTGAGGGATCTCAGGTCTGAAGAGCACGGAAATAACAAGGACAGCTTCGTAGGTGCACTGGGGGCAGGAGCTTATGGGAAGTCCTGGTTTTAGAGGATCAAGGAAATGTGGAACAGTTGGGAGAGCAGCAGGGGCTGGGGGGACTGGGAAATCACCTGGTAGCTACGTCGAACCTCTCATTGGCAGTGCTGACCCTCCAGCCTCTGGCTCCCTGCTTCTTCTGCTCAGCTTCCCAGTCTTCCAATGTCTCCAACAGAGGTATAGGTGGCTTTCTGGAGCCAGAACCCTGGGCTGGGCAGGAGTGAGGCACGAGGAGGAAGAGGAACCAGAGGCAGCTTCTCACCTCTTTTGTCCTTAGCCCCGCCTTTCCAAACTTGATTTTTTCTTTCCCCTAAAGTGCCCTCACTCACCAGCCTTCCTCTGAGTTATCCCCACATAGAGCTGGCTTTGACTGCTCTGAGCTCTGGCTTGGACAATGGCCATGGTCACCTGTAGAAGAAAGCACATCCCGTCCTTTTGTTTCAGGCTAATGAAGTAAAAAGGAAATGGAGGCCATGTGTTCCTCCTTGTGTTTACCACCAGCACAGAAGAGCACCAAAAACATATCCCAGAGGAGGAAGCACCCACAGGCACGGGACTGGGATCAGGAGAACAAATTTAAAGCCACCAAATCTTAAAATTAAATTCTTTTTGTTGTTGTTTTTGTTTTTTATATTTTCCGGTACCCAGAATTGAACTCACAACCTTGCACTTGCCAGGCAAGTGCTGTGCCACTAAATCCCCAGCCCCCACACAATTAAATTCTGGGAGGAATTTTAGGAATACTATCATCCAACCCTTTCCGTTTTTCAGAGGTGCAATTGGCAGAGGCAGGCTGGAATTAAGGCCCCTTGGGCTCATGATATTATACTTCTCTCAGCCTTTCAGCCTCTCCCTGAGGAGAGAAGCAGCAGGAATGACGAGAGAGAACCTGAAGGATGGGAGAGAATCAGGAAGTGCCAGGAAGAAGACCCCCAAGTTCCAAGGAGAAGAGGGATCTTCAGGTTCAGAGCACCTCACCTGAAAGGCCTGGGGTTCTAATCCTCCAGCCTCAAAACCAACCCTGAGCAGTCGGAAGTCTCGGCCATGAATCAGAATCTCCTCGGGGATAAATTTAAGCTGTGACCCTGGACGGAGGAGCTGAACTCGTGTCAAGGCACTCACTGAAGTCGAGAGTTAGAGAGCTGTGTTACCATGTGGTCCGTCTGGGAAGAACTCTTCCAGCTCATCCCACCCATCCCTTGCTATCTTCTCAGCATAGAAGACAAAGAGAGGTTCCAGCACCCCACTAAGCCCCCGGACTTACCAGCTTCCAATCGCCCAATGTTGACCAAGGCAAAATCATATTCACTGCTCAGGGGAGTATCCTAGAGGAAGCATATGAACAATGACACCAACACCTGAAATAACCCTCCTTTCTCTACTGCAATGGCCCTACTCCCCTATAGAGAGCAACCCTCCTAAAAATAATCACTCTTCCCGCCCCTTTTATGAGATAGGGTCTCACTGTTGTCCTTCAGGCTGGCCTTGAATCACTCTGTAGTCCAGGCTGACCTCGAGCTCTTGGCAATCCTCCCACCCCAGCATCAGGAGCATCAGGGTATGCCACCACACCGGCTCAAATATAATCCCTTTTAAATGTCTCTAAGGCATTCAAAAGATAGCCCTTTACCCTTTTGTCTAAATCTACCTAGACTCCCTTACCCATTTCACTCTGGCTTGTCTATGGCCCTAACCATTTCACCTGACTCCGCTGCCATCCACAGGGCTGGAAGGTAACCCTGAAGTTGGTGCATATCAGAGTTCCAGGCAATTCAGGTTGCAGTCCTTTCCTCAGCCCTGGGGCCCATGCTAGTATCTGCTCCCCTAAGGAGGAAGAAAAGAAGCCAGGTTATGACTGTCCCCAGTGTTGCCCATATTGTATACACCTATTCCTCTGAGATGAGGATATAGAGAGGGAAGATTAAAATCTTTCCCTGAACACATAAGTTGGAGGAAAAAGAATTTAAAAAAAACAAAAAAGCGCCTGCCTGGCAAGCGCAAGGTCATGAGTTCGGTTCCTGGTACCGGAGAAAAACGAAAAAAAAAATAAAAATAAAAATAAAAAACAAAAAAACTCTATACCCAGAACAGCAGTAGAATAGGGCCTGACAGAGTACACACTCAGTGATTGAATAAGTGAGAAAAGGGGCCACAGGGTCAAGAAAAGAGAGGGAACAGTAAGGTCCAAACTCCCAGCCAGGCCTGGATAGAACAGTGAACAAGCCTCAGACAGGAGCACTTTGAGGAAAGCCCAGGAAAGGACTGCAGAGCTGTCTTTGGTGGGATAGGAACAGAGTTGGGGTGGGACGAAATCTGGAGGGCTTGGAGGAGATCAGATCATTACCTGGGAGGCATCCGGAGGCCAGGCAGCTGCCAGGCTGACGACTCCTGTGCTCCGGCATCCTGCTTCCCTGGACAGACTTCAGCCCAGAGAGCTGAGGAGAGTGCAGCCTTAATCCCTGGCCTCCCCAACCCTGGGGTCTAGGATTCCCTAGCAGCCACCTTTAGAGGCCTATACTCAGACTCCAGGGAAACTTGCGATCTGTCTGTGGGAGCTCTGGAGTAGGGCTTGCAGATGCGAGGGGAAGGCCTGGTTAATGGGTAATGAGAGCACGAACTTGAGACTGTAAAGAAGGCAAGCCAAGCTCCACCAGTGGACACACCCTCCTTCTCCTCTAGATCTCCTTCCCAGCATCCCTACCGCACCCCCATGCACCCCTCCCCAGCCCCCAAACTCCTTCTCCTTACCCCTACCTCTGGCTCCTCCTTCTGGGAGGCAATGTTGAAACTCTGGCCCCGGCCACCCCACCACATTTTTCTGGCTCCATCCGGGGATGGAGTATTAAGGGTAGGAAACCCTAAGGATGCTCAGGCCCTCTGGAAAGGGCTGAATCTTATAGCTGAGAAAAAGGAGATTAAACAGAGGGCCAGTTGGGAGGACTCTAGAGGAAGGAGCATTTGAGATGCCCGGAGCATAACGTGGGGGGCTTTTGAAAGGTGTGACCAACCCAGCCAGGGCAGGCTCCTCGGAAACTTCAGTCGACTCTGGAGAGGGCGGGGAGCTGCCCAGCCCCTTAAAGGAGAATACACACTGTCTTGGAAAAATAGAAAGGAAATGGAGGAGCCTCAGAAAGAGAGTGAAAACTGAGGAATAGAAAAAAAAACAGGACTCCCTTGTTTTGCCCAAGCCCACAACCTCTCTCTTTCTGTCACGGGTATCGAAGATTGAGGGGGGTAGTAATACTGATTTTTCTTTTTTTTTTTGAGACAGGGTCTCGCTGTGTAGTTCAGGCTGGCCTTAGACTATGTAGGCCACGTTGGCCTTGAACTCGCAGTGATCCTCCTGCCTCGGCCTCCCGAGTGCCGGGATTACAGGTGTGCACTGCCACGCTCAATAGTAATACTGATTATTAAACTGAAATAATTGGAACCACCTCTCCAGACTTTCAGTGATGACTTCCTTTCTCGGGGAAGCACTGTGTGTGTGTGTGTTTGTGTGTGTGTGTTACGAGCGGTGGGGTAGAAATGCAAAGTTGCTCAGCCCTCCTAACTGCCTCTCGGGGATAAACCTACCAAAAATGGTTGCCAAGGGAAAGTAAACTGGAATCCGACTCATGATTTTGTCAGGGAGACTCAAGCACTGAAGGAGGAAGCTGATCAAAAAGTCTGTGTATATCCCCCTCCCGCGTGTGAAGCGCAGCTCACGAGAGGAGTGCAAGGAGTTGAGAGTGGCTGAGAGGCGCCCAGGACGCGGCCGAGCACAAGCCCGCGGATACGCAGGCCAGAGCCCCAGAGAATCCCACCCTTGAACCGGTCTCGCTGAGCACCCCGGGCACCTCCCTCCAATCCCAGCCTTGGGCAATGAAAGCCCACCGCACGTGACTCCGCCCGCCCGCCCGAGGGGACACTGGATCTCCAAATGAATGTTTCATGTTCCCGCTCCGCAATTCCAGGACCACAGCCTCCTCCCTCACCCTTGCAACCCAAGAAGCAAAGATGGGGGTGGGGTGCGAGGCAAGTAACAGAGATGCAGCTCAGGATGACTGGGGGCAGCAATGCAAAAACCTTTGTTTAGGCATGAAAAAGACAGGAAATAAAACACAAAATAAGATCTAACGACCTGCTGTTTTATTGTGTTTGAGTCTGTACAAAGGCAACAATCTTTAGATGGGGGGGCCCCTTTCCAAAGTGACATTCAGCTCCACGCCCCACCCCCCAGCACACACGCCCTTCCGGCCTCAGCTCTGAAGCCCTGTCCGGGAGGGTACTGTGGGAATACCGAAGACACTGTGAGCCGGGGAGCCGGACCGGAACACGTATCTCACCGCTGCGGCAGCGTCCTAGGGAGACAAGCTAAGTCCCAGGATGCTGTAAAATAACAGCACAGGAGAATGTATGCGCCACGATCTTAACACTGCAGTATGGTATCCACTTTCCATCTCGCCACCACTCCACTCGAGAGCCTCCTTCTATTCCGAGGTACGGGAACAGCAGCAGAACAGAAGGAAAAAGCGTCAAGGGAACAAGGAGAAATAAACTGGATGACTTGGACCAGCACCTGACCAGTAATGCAGTGGGGATAGCAGCTGGGAGCTAAGCAACAGGAAAACTACCTCTCTCCACCCAGCACAGCCCAGGAGACGTTTCCTGGATGAGAGGAGGTGGGGAGGCTGTATCAGATTTTCCATCTTCAGAATCCTGCTCCGGTTGCAGGTTTGAGCCAGGACTGAAGGCTGTCGGGAGGGGTGGCTGGGCAGGGAGGTGGAGCTGAGTGACTCACAGACTGAGTCACGATCCAGTTTAAGCACAGAAAGAGGCCAAGGTCCTTCCCACCCCCACTCCTCTGCCTAGCCTCTGTTGCTCTTTCCCTCTGCCCCTTACCCACTGTGCCAAAGGGAGGCAGCATGGAGTCTATGGGGGAGGTAATCACACTTTGTTACCTCAGCTTAAGTACAGGGCACAAACAGGCTGAGTCTCTTCAGAATGACAGGCTGTGCACAGATAACTCAAGGAATCTGCAGGTGAGGGCTGGGAAAAAGCCGCGATGCAGGTGACCCTGGCTGCAAAGGGACTTGTGTAATTGTACACTTCGGTTGTTGCCTCATTGAAGAAAGACACAGAGTCCAGGGGTGACTAAGTAACTCAAGAGACATCATCTCTGAAATGTTCCTTTATTAAGAAAAAATGTGATGGGAACCTTGGACATGACAGTGAAAGCTAGGTTCTCAGAAATCCTTGAGAGCCAACTCCTTTCGGACTTATTACCATTTCCCAAAGATACAGCACAAAGTTGTTGCTGATTTTTGTTTTATTGGTCTGTGAGCTTTACTTTGAGGGCAGAGCTATGTCCACTCCAGTGCCCAGCACAGACAGCACTGATTTTAACACCATCCCCTACTCCTTAGAGACTGATTTTTTTTTTTTTTAAATGGAGACAGGATCTTGCATTGTACTTCAAGTTGGCCTCAAACTAGTGGCAGTCCTCCTGCCTCAGGCTCCCAAGGGCTAGAATTACAGGCCTGTGCCACCACGCCCACCTGATACTTTTTTTTTTTTAAGACTATCTATATTGCTGATTAAAATCAGTATGAGGGGAGACTTCTAGTTGACTCTAACTCTAAATAAAACCAGCGGAGGAGGATTTCCGGGGCTTACCCTGTAGTATATTTGCTCCACTGGGCTGTGATAAAGAATATAGCATAAAGGGTAGCACTGTTTCAGAAGGGGGTAAATAACCCTGAAAATCTCCCCTTCCCATTAAAAACTTCAGTAGGTACCTCAGTTGCCCTGGATTAAAGGAACTAAGTGCACTTAAATTTAAGCCTGAGAGACAGTCATACTTCACCAGGAACACAAGGTCCCCCTTCTCACACACCTCTCATGAGCCAAGGAAGTTTGTTATTGTTGTCTGTGGGCTTTGCTTTTGGGTTTTTCAAGACAGTTTTGCTATGTAGTTCCAGCTGGCCTTGAACTATGTAGCTCAGGCGGGCCTTGTGCTTGCCAGCAATCCTCCTGCCTCAGCCTCCCGAGTGCTGGGAATACAGGTGAGCGCCACCTTACCCAGCACCAAGGAAGTTTTATACTTTTGAGTACCTGGCAGGTAACCCCCTCCCTCATCCCCAACATGCAATTGCACGCAACTTGCCTATCCCATTCCTCATCTTTCCAAATATCACAAAGCCATCTTTGTCTATTTTGATTTCCCAGGCATTATTCCTTAACCCATCCTACCCAAACCCTCTTCAAGAGGGTAACCCAAAACAAACTTCAGTATTCCCTATTTTTAAAATATTCATTGTCTCAGTCCTTCATCCTCAGAATGTTTTCCAAAGCCTTAACAGTTACCTTCTCAAGTAAAAAATAAATTATTACTAAAAAGGTGTAAGGCCTAAAGCCCTACTTTATCATATTCACCCCAGGACTCCCTTCCCCTCCCCTGAATTTCCACCTTTTTTCCTTTGAGGGCAAAGGGAAGTGAAATTGGGTAATTTATAAATAAAAACAAGCATGATACAAGGTTTCTACTTTTGTTCATTTGTCCTGTTTTTTAAAACAAACGTGTTAGCTAAATCTAAAAACAGGTCAAGTCTAAACACAGCAGTCCAGGGGCGAATCCCCACTCCTGGTTTTTCTCTGGGAACCCCCTGGGCTGCTCCCATCCTCTTGGTCCAGGCCAGCTCCCTCCTCTGGTGGTTCTGCCGGAGAGAAGCAAGCTGTGCAGGGCCAGGGTGGGGGTCTGGGTGCATGCTAAGGGATGGAGGCTCACAAGGTGGTCTCACCAGTGTTGTTCGAACCCCAGAAATGGGAAAGAGCAGGGTGAAGTGAACAAGGCATTCACCTAGGGTACCAAATGAGGGACGCTTAAAAACCCAAGAACCAAGATTAACACTATTTTGGTGCAATATGCATTAAAAATAAAAATTAATGTAGAACTCATGATGAACAATGTATCAGAAATATAAACAAAGCCAGGAATCATCTCAATACTTGCTCAATCCAACCTTGCTTCCCACATCCTAATTCTGGCCCTGTCAGATCTTGACTTTTAAATTTTTTTTTTTTTTTTCGGGTTTTTTTTGAGACAGGGTCTTGCTATGTAGCCTGGGCTGGCCTCGAACTCAAGGCCATCCTCTTGCCTCAGCCTCCGGAGTTGCTGGTATTACAGGTGTATGCCACCATGCCCAGCTGTCTTTAAAATTTTGATACTGGGTTTAACATGGATTTGTGGCATTCATTTTTTAAAGTTCTGAATTTTTTCAAGGTTTTTTTTGTTTTTTTTGGTCTTTTTGAAACAGGGTCTCACTATGCAGTTCAGGCTGGCCTTGAGCTCACTTTATAGCCCAGGCTGGTCTCGAACTCACAACGATCCTCCTGCCTCAGCCTCCCAAGTGCTGGGATTACAGGCATGTGCCACCATACCCAGCTCAAGTATTATCTTGATTACTGAGTGCTCTTTTAAATTTTGCACCTAAGGGCAGTGCTTGTCTCAGAAGCCAGCTCTGCCCAGAAATACACAAATCCCCTCTTGTGGAGCCTAACTGCTTCCTTAAAACCAACCTACTGTCCAACAGAAGCCTACGACTTAACAGCCATATGAAATGATTAAATCAACAGACCAGCAGATTTGTAAAGTAAGTGACTTTCAGGTCTGTTAAGGAGAAAAGAACCTCTCTAAACAGTTCCAGTGAGAAGGTCTTGGCTGGCTTTGTCACCACGGTGGAAATGAAATGAAAACTTTCCTGACTGGGCAGAGGGAACACACACAAATAAGCTCCCCCAACACACACAAGTATAATCACACCATGTGTGCCCTAGATCAGATGTGGGGTTACATTCCATGGGACAGTGATTAATACATGCCTCAACAGAGAGATCCAAGTACAGAAAAACAGCCCCAATTACCATTCTGGACACGTAAGTACACTTATACCCCTTCTTTATATGCACCCTGGAGTGTATATATAATTGCATAGTTTGTGTTTTGTGTTTTCCACCAGAAAAAAGTATAAAGAAAAATTGGCCCAGGATAGGTTTGGTTTAAAGCTCTTAGGAATGGCTCTGGCCAGAGCACAGGCTGTCCAGACTTGTGCTTTGTGCAAAATGCAGACAAGCTCCCCTCTGGGCCCCTCCCCTCTGTGTCTGCGCCATGTCCCTGCCCCCGGGACACAGAGCTGAGCCACAGAGCTGAGCCAGGGAAGGGAGACATTCAGACCGATCAGCTCATCGCGAGTAATACGTGATCTGTGGTTAGAGTTCACTAAAATATTTTTAACTACCTTTTTGTAAATTGCCCCTAACCCCCAATCCTTGTTTCAGTATCAGTCCTAATATCAAAAATATCTTATCTTACAAAGTATGTTATTATTATTTTGATAAACTAACCACAGATTAAGGTCAACTATGGCTTAACAAAAGAAGCCAGGATGTTAAATTCATTCTCCAAAAGTAGAGAGGAAGGAGAAAGAATCACTTAAATAGGGAAAAAAATAATAATTCTTAAAAATGTTTTTGCTTGTTGGGGTTTTGTTTCTTTTCCTTAAAAAAATTAGTCAATAAAATAAGTTGCTTTCTACAGAAACACAGCAGCAGAAGATGGTAGTGCTTTATGTAGGTTTTTGGTTTGGTTTCAAACAGTCTGGCCAAGGTGTCTGTCCTTCCCCCAACCTGCCCCAAGGTACCATACACTCAAACCCACGTATGGTTATTGCTAAGTAGTTAAAAAACAAATCACTCTGCACTCATTCACCTGGAGAAAATTCAAAACAAACAGCTGTTCTTCTCATCACACTCTCCTTTCTCAGAGGAAATTTTTTAAAGATAAAATTTAAGTGTTTTTTTCAAAAAATCATAACCTTCTTAATTTAGCTGAGCTCAGCCTTCAAAAGGGCTGAGGAAAAAACAGGGCCCAGCAGCCACAACCTCTCAAACTAGCATGGATGACCGATGACTACAGAAGGAAACAAAACTCCTTTTAAGTTCCTCCCTCTCCCATCTTCATAAACTGGGATTTTAACTACTTCCTCTCTCTAACAAGTACCCAAGCGCACACAGTATGGCCTTGCCTTACCACATCCTTCGGGGGAGACTGTGTCCAGCCCTAATTTACACCTTATTAAAATCAACAGCAGATCTGTCCAGTATCTGTGTCCCTTACTCGCCTAGCTCCATCGCCATGTGCTTCTTCCGAACTGGAAAGAACTTTGGTCTACCTTGTCTTTGACTGAGAACCTTCTTTGCCTGCTCCTCCCCACATCTGCACACCTCCCACCTACACCAAACCTCAGCGCCTCCTCTCCCTCGGTTCTGGGATGGGATGCAAGGCATTAGGAGACAGAGTCACCATCTCCCCGCTCTCTCGTGGCTTCTCAGTCCCATCAAGTCAAGCTCTGCAAAGCAGTGCAGCCCTTGGGCACCATCCGGCCCTACCTGCTCTTACCAGCCTGGCAGCACTTCAGCGCGCACAGACTTAAGTTTCCAGTCAGGCTCCCACAGACATTTATGCATTTGCCCCATCAATATGGGGCTGGGGCTTGATAAGCCAATGAGTCAAACTTCACTTTGTTGAGCCCCCTTGCCCTCCAAGGTCCCACCGTTCAGAATCTGTGTACCAGCAGCTCCCCACCAGGTTCCCGTTCCCTCCTCCTCAGTTCTTCCCTGTAACAGCAAGAGCAGAAGTTGTTTGTCTCAGGGTGTCCATAGAAGCTGCAGTTCGGTTGTTTGCACTTGGTCTGGGTTGGTGGAAGACCACGGGGACCTCCACCCCATCCATCTGGCTCCGGGGGTTCCCTGTAGCCGTTGCTATAGGAATCAGCCACGCGGAAGGGAGTTGGCAACAATGTGCCCCTGTGAACTCCATCCTTGGAGTGAATGCCTGGCTCTGGAGGTGGGATGCTGTCCGGGTGGGGGTATGGTCGCCCAGGGGGGCACTGTCTGGGGAAAGTAGCATATGGTGGTAGCACCCCCCCACACGGACCCCCTGCCAGCTGCCTTCTGGGTTCCTGGCAGTGGACTCCACCCCCAGAAGGCCGAGGGATAGTAAAGCCCCCAGGGTAGCCAGTTGAGAAGGCCATTGCCTTGGACTCTCCTGGGGGCACAGTCAGCTGCTCCTCCCCACCATCTGACTCTGGCTTTTTGGCTGGAGGAGGCCCACTCGCTACCACTCCGTTAATGATCTTCCTCTCTGCCTCCTTCTGCTTCTGCTCTGCCAGAAACCTCTCCTCAGCATCAGTAAGGTACCGCTGGATCATCTCCTCCTGATATTGGTGACGGTGACCCATCTTCAGGGTTCCAACAAAAATAAATTTTCCCTCCCCTTGCATTGTGATCCTCATAATGCTCAGGCTTTGCATAACTTCCTGGCTATACTTGCTCCCTCCATTACTGGCACACTCTGATGAGGGCTTCTCAGACACAGGCCCATCCCCGGCTGCCTCCTCCTTGCCACCCTTCCAGCTCTTCAGTGAGTTCTTCTTCTTCTTCTCCAGCGTCTCAGTACCACTGCTCACCCCTGGCCCCGTGCCCACCCCTCCAGGCTTAGAGCCTTTGCTGTGCATCAGGCCTCCCATGTTCTTTTTGAGCTTGCTGCCCAAGGTTTTGCCAAAGCTGCCCAGTTTGTTAGCCACGGACTCTGCTCTCTTCTTGTCTTTTTCCCGATCTCGCCTGGACTTCTCCTTCCGCTTGCTGCCCTCATTGCTGGTAGAACTGCTGCCAACTGACTCCTTGTCTGATTCCCCAGACTCAGGAGTAGACCGAGGCTCATCGCCAGCTGAAGCTGTTGGGGACTCAGGCTGTGCCAGAGGAGCCTGGAAGAGACAAGAGCAGTATTGACAGTGACCCCACTGGCTGAGGCAGTGCACGTGCCCAAAAACCTTGATCTGGAGCCCACCCATCAGCTCACGGGGCTCCCTGTCACCACTCTGTGGATTAGGAGTGTGGACGGTGAGTGCCCTCCCAGCTCCATGCTGAGTGTGCCTAGCTCCGGAGAAGGGCTTTTGTCATGACGAAGGAAGGGTCACCCGGGAGGGTACTGTCCTTCTTTGGCTCTAGTCAGCTTCTCATGGCCAAGGTAAGATGTATATAACATCTAATTTTTATCTCACCCACTGCAATCTGACTCCCTTTGATAACAAAGAGATACTGAAATGAAGGAGACTGCTCTTCAGATCAGTGAGCAACCATACAATACACAGCCTCTGGCTGAGGAGGGAGAATATCTCAGAGATATCAAAATGTTTGTTATAAATTTCTCTATGTCAAATCTTGTTTAAAATTAATTTGAAAGAAATCTTGACTGACTACAACCAACCAAGTCTGACCATTTTGCATCCACCAACATTTACATATGCAGCACTCTGAAGGTCATAGATTTGCCTGTGCTCCCATATTCCTGTTCCAGCTCAGAATCCTCAGGACAAGGAACTGTTCAGACACTGTGCCTCCCTCTGGTGTCCCAAACAGAGGTCTATCTACAGAAAGCTTGGGAAAAGGAATGACAATCTCAACTTCACTGAAAACCTTAAAGAATGTATTTTAGGGGTGTGGCTATGACTCAGACATACAGCACTGGCCTGGCAGACAAGAAGCCCTGGGTTTGATCCAGGTACTATAAGCAGTGCCAAGGGAGCGGAGGGGCAGTATGAGAAAGCAGAGCCTGGCTGGAGAGATGCAGACCACAGAGCGGACTAACAGGTAAAAAGGCAGGAAAAGGTGTTCTTGGAACTTACTGACCTCTTTCAGTTACACCTAACCCTGACTCACAAGCTAATCTGAGGAGAGACTCAAAAGGCAAGTGTCATCAGGTCTCCTGGCTGCCCCTGTCACTGAATGTGAGGACACATGAGGACAGGGGTGGGAGACACCTTCACCTGTGCATCAGAGGACAGTGGGATCCACTTTACGTTCATGTAGCTATGCAGCAGATGTAGTTTGACCTCCAGGGACAGGATTACACTGTGGAAAGGAGAAAAAGAGAATTAAAAACTCACTGCAACCCTATTTAAAAGCAAAGCAGTGCGATATAGTTGGGAAGGAGAATTGAGTTCTACATAGCCTAGGATTCAACTGAGTTTGAATCACAGCTTTGTGATCTTCCCTGAACCTCAGTTGGGGTCAACAGTGGGTACTGATAACAGTACCTATCTTGTGGCACTGCTGTGAAGATTAAAATGAAAGTGTTTGGAAAGGGCTTGGCAGAGTCTGGAAAATAAAAAATACTAAACAGCAGTCATTATTATTACTGTTGTTATATTTCGAAGGAGGTTTTGATAATTAGGTGAGAACTTATTTCTAAAAAGCCATAAACTGTGTCTTAAAATCCAACCCAGTGAGGCAGCTCCCAAAGGTGCAGAGGCCCAAAGAAGGAAGCAGCAGGTACAAAGGAAGGGCAGGACTTTTAGGTTCCTATGCTCTCCACTGGGAAGCTGTGGAGGGAGTCAGGAGAGGAGGCTAAGCAGGTCACAGGGAAGCAGGATGGGGGTTGGGATATGGGAGTGGAAGGGATATATTTTTCTTGCTGCCTAAATTCTAGAAAGAGAAAAACCCAGAGCAAAGCATTTCAATCAACTATTTAAAACTCCTCTCACATTGGCTGACATAAAAAGTGTGATGTGATTCTCTTTGATTTTCTGATGACTATGTATTTGGCAATTCTGGGGTGTATCAGTACAGGCTCACTCTCCATATGGTAAGAAAGCAACAGGTTGAGATCCCAGAATTCATAACTTTCACGCAGACAATGCTGCTACAAGATGCCCGACCTGGTGCCCAACCGAGCTCATGCCTCAGCATCTTATCAAACAAACTGGAATGGTAATGTGACTGTGTTGCTTTTTAGCTAAGGAAAAATCCCAGCAGCATGTGCATGTGGAAGAGATCCCTGCTACGAAGCAGAGGAGAAGGCTGGGACTGCCTCACCTGGCCAATCGGACATTGTCACTGTCATCTTTGCCCCACTCCCAGCCCTTTCCTGGGTCCACTGCAAAGTGCAAGGGCAGCAGCTTATGCTCTGAGTCTGTAAGTGGTATCACAGCTGGGAAAGAAAACAGAACATGGCGTCAAGGTGACTCCTTGAGAAAGGGAGAATCAGAACACAGGCCAACTTCACTAAGACTATATACGGGCCTCAAACTGTAGTCACTTCTCAACCTTGCAAGTGAATTATCCCCAGTTAAACACCTGTAGGCCAGTTTTCCCCTACTACCCAGCACACAATGCAGGCCACTCGCTCCGCGACTCCCTACCAGGCCATCTAACTTTCATCGTGTTCTCACCAGCTGTGTGGATTCAGAGAATTCAAAGTCTTTACAATAAATGAAGCAAAGCATCATTAGGAAGGTCCCATAACCTTCACGCATATGCCCCATACTCCAGAACAAGCAATATAGGCTATGTTCTTCTTTAAGATCTTTTTTTCTTTTCTGCAACTGAAAACCCTGCTGAACTGGGCATGGTGGTATGTGCCTGTAATCCCAGCACTCAGGAGGCTGAAAAAGGAGGATCACCATGAGGTGGAGGCCAGCCAGAACTACATAGCAAGACCCTGTCTCAAAACCCTAAACAAGAAAAAAAACAAAACCTAATAAAACAGTATTAATATGCATTGTCTGGGTTTGCATATCCCTTAATTCTTTCCTCCTGCATTAGCTCTCAATGTCCTTTCCCCAAGTGAGAACAACGCAGACCAAACAACACTAGAGACCGATGCTGCATCCAGTACCTTGTTCCTTGGCATTTTCCTTCTGCTCCATGGACACAAGTGCAGAAAAGTGGGCCTGATCATAGGCGAGCACCAGAGGAGATCGGTGACACTGGCTGATAGGGACCTCCAAGGGCAGATAGATTCCCCCAAAGGGAATAGGAGCAAATGCTGTAGGAAACCAAGACCATCACTCAGACTATGAGCTCACCTAGTGAGCATCCTTCCATCTCACTCTGCCAACCTAATCCCCCCAACTTCATTCCAATGTTTAATATTCTTTCCTAAAAAGCCTTGTCAATTAACCCCAATGGCTTTACTATAAATCTCTGAAGAATTCTGCATTGTTCTAACTCACACTGTTCCTTTTTCCTCCCGCTGTCTGTATATCCTCCTTTCCCGCCCTCCTCCCAGGGCTCAGCCTGGGATCTGCACAGGCGGATGCTGGGGTTCAGTGAGGACTGACTAGTTGACTGACCTTCCCCTCCAGAGTCCCTCAGCATGGTATCCGCCACAACCACTATCGGCCTCTTGAGCACATGTGCCAAGACAAAGACGTGGAACTCTTCCAGGCTCTCATACACAGGCTCCTCTGCGCTCTCCACCCTAGAATTGCAGCAAAGGAGATAGGAAGCGCACAGAGGAAGGGAGGGAAAAAAACAAAAGAGCCCTGAAGACAGTTCTGAAGGAAAGGAAAACAGGCGTGTCATTTCCTAGTTTCCCAATTTACTTAAGGCTACCAGTGATAAAATTGATTATTTTACACTATCATGGTTGCTTTTACCTCCATTTCTCCAATGGGAAAATGCAAGAATTTAGAACACAAAGGCTCTGGGGTTAAAGTGATATTAGGAATCTTGAGGTAATCCCCATCTCTTAATATCCATCCTGCTCAACAACCTCTCCAATTCTCTATCCAGCAGCCGAATACACAACCACACTAGCCCCATCCTGCTTACCTTTCCCACCATGACACCCACACACCACATTCATCATTCCGTGCAAAAGAAACCCCAATTCCTCTTCCTAGCCTCCTACTTAAGAACCTTCACCACTACCCAGAAGCTTAATCACAAACTGGAGAAATGTTTACTCTTCTACTTTCCTTTCTTTCTTTCTTCCTTTCTTTTTTTTTTTTTTTCTTGAGATAGGTTCTCACTATGTAGTTCAGGCTGGCCTCAAACTCAAAAGTGATCCTTCTGTCTCAGCCTCCTGAGTGCTAGGATTACAGGTGTGCACCACCATACCTGGCTTTTACTGTTCTTTATCACAGCGTCAATTAACCTCACTTGATCAATTCCATCTCCTATATGCTCGTTTTAAAAATATTTTATTAGTCCATGTTTGCAATACATAATGATTACATTCACAGCGGGGATGGTGGGGAACTGGTACATGTACATAATACACCTTCAATCCTTTTAGGTCCTCTTCCCCTTGCCTCCTGCTCCCTCTTAGAACCATCTCTTGGTACTCTTGCTATTTGTAAAAGATCCCATGTGTCTCTTGTACCTGTGTTCTCTGCCCTGTCTTCAGTCCCCAACCCCGTTCACACTTGGGGCCCTGCTGCATGGATTATTGCTACAACCGCCTGTAAACTCACCCGCTCTTCCCCATTATCCGCTCCAGGGTCTTGTGTTCAAACACAGATTTGCTCTTGTCACTCTCATTCTTAAAACTTCCTAGCTCCCTCACCAAACCCCAGAACAACATTGCTCAACACTGAATACTTGTTACAAACTTGGGATTTCTGAACCTTACTCAGCTATACTTTCTTGGGGCAGAGGTCCAGAAAGCTGCATTTTAAATAATTCCCCCAGATTATTCTTATGTATAATGGAGTTTGGAGAGGTAATAATTTTTAACTTTCTACTATGGAAAATTTGAAAATTTTAAACACTGAATACTAAAGAGAATATTAAGGGCTGAGGAGAGCTCAGTGGTAGAGTATTAACTTAGCATGTCCAAGGCCCTGGGTTCAAGCCCTAAATAAACAAACAAAGAGACAAAATCACACTAAATTCTCAGGTATCACAAAGCTTCAAAAACAATAAACATCTGGCCGGGCCAAGAATTTAGCTCAGTGGCACAGCACCTGCCTGGTAAGCATGAGGTCCTGAGTTCAACTCCTGGTATCCTCCCCAAAAAATGTGGCCAATTTTGTTTCAACATTTCCTTATCCCTTCCCACTCCCACTCTGCTAGAGTATTCTCAAGCAAATCCTAAGCATTATATTATTTCATTCATATACATTTCAGTTTCTGTCTCTAAAAAACTAAACATGTGCCAGGTGTGGTGGCGCACGCCTGTAATCCCAGCACTTGGGAGACTGAGGCAGGAAGATGACTGTGAGTTCAAGGCCAGCCTGAGCTACAAAGTGAGCTCAAGGCCTGCCTGAACTGCATAGCAGGACCCTGTCTCAAAAAGACAAAAAACAAAACCAAACAAAAAACAAACATTCAGATATTGTTCATGTTTTCCTGGCTGTCTTTTAAATGTCCACACATTCCAATTGATTGGTATGCTTTCCTATCTTTAAACCTATTCTTCCCTGTCCTTTTTTTTTCTTGCAGTTCATTTACTGAAGACATCGAGTCGTCTGTCCCACTGTTTCCCAGAGTCTAGATGGGACGCAATCTGTTCTTAATATGGTACAAGAGAACCCTCTGCATGGCACACAAAATATGGCCTGCCAGCCGCAGCCATCAGTTTGGACTGTGTACTCCAGACAGGCAGCCGACCCACCGAAGTCCCTAGAACACACTGTGCTGTCACACACTGTGGCCTTGCCATGGCTCTTCTCTCTTCTTTCAACATCCTGCTAGCACACAGCTCTTTCTCTGTGGGATCTCAGTCCAGTGAGGACTCCAGAAAAGACTATTTCCTGCTCCCCGACTTAGTCATACTCACCCTCCACCACTGGCTCCGTTGGTACCAAGATGCATTCGTGGCTCACTTGAGGCAAGCTTGATCAGTTCATTCCATTCCTTCTGCCATTCTTCCTCTGTGTACACCAGGCCTGACTGAAGGCAGGCCAGGGAGATCAAGCAATTAGAGGCAACACCCACTCCAACTCACTCACTGTCACCACCCTCCATTCTGCTAGCACTTGATTTACAATTGTGGTACAAAGTCCAATCTCTCCTCCCTTTCATAGTTGAGATCCATAAGGAATGGCCTATGACCCTTCCCACACCCCATCTTCTATTCTTTTTTGGCTCACTGCAACATGGCTTCTGTTTCTGCCTTCTAGCCTATTCCCCACACCCCACATGTACCTCACCTGCCTGACTCTGGCAAAGCACACAATAAACAAAATTGCAGAACTCATGTACTCTCTGGTTCTCATCTTTCCTAGCCTTCGTGTGGTGCATTTTTCTTTGTAAACAGTCTTCTCCTCTAGCTTCCACAACACCACCTTCTTTTATTTCTCTGAACTCTTGCTGCTCCCCCAAACTGGGGGTGTGCCAGTAAGTTCAGCTTTGCTTCCCTCTGGGTGATCTCTTTTTTTTTTTTTTTTTTTTTTTTTTTTTTTTTTTTTTGGTCTTTTTGAGACAGGGTCTCACTATGCAGTTCAGACTGGCCTTGAGCTCACTTTGTAGCCCAGGCTGACCTCGAACTCACAATGATCCGCCTGCCTCAGCCTCCCAAGTGCTGGGATTACAGGTGTACACCACCACACCTGGCAGTCTTCTGGGTGATCTCTTAACTGCAATAACTTCATTCACCGCTATCTATATGCTTATAATTTTAAAATCCCCACTCTAGCCCAGATTTCCTCCTAATTTCTATGTTCACATATACAGCAGCCTAACAAATACTGCTACTTACCCATGGCTACTGCAAATTCTATACAAAGTTAAAATGGAATTACTGTCTCTTCTAAAAACTCATTCTTCTATCTATACTCCTACCTTTACGTGTCAGTAGCATTACCGCCCAAATAAGAAACCAAGGAGTCATCCTTCTTTTACCCATCCCACACCCAGATCCCTTCTTTAGTCAACAACTATTAAGCATAGACTACTGCTATGCACCTTAACTGGTTTTACTAAGCTCCAGTTATGTACTCTTCTGATCCATTTCCTACAATGCTCAAGAAAAAAATTTTTGTTCAGCCTTTTTGTTTACTAAAAAAAATTTTAATTAAACTCTGCTAAAAAACCCCTTTAAGAATCATCACTGTGCCAAGTGTAGTGGCACACACCTGTAATCCTTGCACTCAAGAGGCTGAGGCAAGAGGATCTCCATGAGTTCAAGGCCAGGCTGGGCTACATAGTGAATTCAAGATCAGCTTGAAGTACACAGCAAGACCCTGTCTCAAATTAAACAAAAAAAAAAATCATCATTGCCTCTTACACATAGTTCAGACTCCTTACAGAGCCCACTTTCTGACCACTTCTAGTTCAGTATCTCTGAATCACCAGTAGTTCCTGAAATGCATGTTTTATCACTCCAACCTTTTGTCTACATGCCTTCTGCCTGGTGCAACCCAATCATTATCTACCTGATAAGCAATTTCTTAACTTTCAAGACAGAACTCAATTATCACTCCCTTGTGAAGTCTTCGCTCAGACTCCCTTGTTCCTTCCTTCCTGGCCCACCTCTCTGGCTGCTGCTCAAACTACTGTACTAGAAGCCACACCAGTCATATTTTGCTACATTTATGTATTTACAGGTCCATTTCCTACTATTTTGCTCTCAGGAGCTAGAACCAAGTTTTAGCAATCTGCCCAGTGTCTCCTATGTGATCAGTAATCAATAAATACAGGCTAAGTGAAATTCATTTTTTTGTTTTTTGGATGGTAATGTGATCAAATCCAAGGGTGCTCTGTCATTTCTCAACATTCCCATCCCTTTTACTTCTAAATAAAATAGAGGGTCTATTTGGGGGCATAAGTTGCCCAGATGGTACTGAAACTTGCAACCCTCCTGCATTAGCCTCCCAAAGTGCTGGGCTATTAAGCATGTACCACCACACCTGGCTTAAAACTGTAATTTTTATTAAAGCAGAGTGTATAGTGGTAACAAATAATTTAAAAGGATGCATGCGATGATTTGAGAGACAGGTGGTTTGTTTTTTTTTTTTAGACAGGGTCTTACTATGTAGCACATGCTGGCCTTGAACTCATGTAATTTTTCTGTCTTAGCCTCCTAAATGCTGGGATTATACTCGGCTTTGAGAGACAGGTTTACCTTACTAATTTTTATTTGGCTTACATTAGTATTAAAATTGAGTATATACTGCTTAAGCACACACTGACAGAGTGGAAGGAATCTTACTGGAAACATGAGGGGCATCGGGAACAGATCTAATAGGAATTAAAGAGTTATTGTGAGTATGTTTTACTTTAATAATTAAGAAGACATAGCTATTTTCAATTGGTAAAATGCTGATTTTATTTCAATTAAAAATAAAAAGAGCAACACATAGTTTGTATATATGGAGGAGTTCCAGGTACTCCAACATATATAACATCGGGATCTCACTCTCTGACCTAGTTCTGATTCATGTTTTCTACACCTAACCACTAGGTGGCATACACTTCTAGCCTTATTTATTGGGCTCCTCCATCAATTTAACAAAAAACACGGAGGCCTGGGACATCAGGAATAATTTAGTGTGGTGTTTGGCATTAGGAAACTAAAAGAAGCTCCAAAGTCCATCCTCCTCTTCCCATTCCCACTCCCAAGTGGAAGAAAGTCTAAACTAAGACGATGATGTAGGCCACACTTCTAGTATAGAACCTTCACAGTGCTGAGCAAAAGGATTTGTAAAATGATCATCCCTTTACTAGCTGCTATTCTCTATGCATGTATACCTGCTAGAGGGAAGGGAGCTGATCCAGGACAGAACTTAAGTATTTCTGTCTCCTGGCTAAATAATATTATAATCTAATTTAAACTTACTTTTAAAATAGTAATTATAATAGATTTAATAACTACACTCAAGCCATTGTAACTGTTGCTATCATGAAACTCATTAACTGGCATACTCTGGTTTGACCTTTTCTTGTCCATGGAGTGCTCAAATCTAAGATTAAAGTATGGTCTACAAATTCAACAGTGAACTGGGCATGGTGGTGCACACCTGTAATCTCAGCACTGGGGAGGCTGAGGCAGGAGGACTACCATGAGTTCAAGGCCAGCCTGGGTTACAAAGTGAGTTCAAGGATAGCCTGAACTACACAAACCCTGTCTCAATCAATCAATCAATGAAGAAGGCAAACTACTGATTGGGTTCTAAATTCTAGGCTAGGGCCGGGCATGGTGGTGCACACCTGTAATCTCAGCATTCAGGAGGCTGAGGCAGGAGGATTGTTGCAAATTCAAGACCAGCCTGGGCTATAAAGTGAGCTCAAGCCCAGCCTGAACTGCATAGCAAGACCCTGTCTTAAAAAGAAAAAAAAAAAAAAAAAAAAATTCTAGGCTAGCTCTGGCTCAAACAAAAGAAGATTTTCCCAAAGGTCCAGCCTAGCTTTTTTTTTGGTACCAGGAATGGAACTCAGGACCTTGTGCTTGCTAGGCAGGTGCTATACTGCTGATATATCCCCAGCCCCCAGCCCAGCTTTTGATGTTCATAAGGAATACCATTTATTAATAATTTATTAATATGAAATCTAATATAAAAAATAATATGGCCTGTCCTGACAGGGTGTTCTGGTTGTTAATTCCATGCTTCCGTACATTTAATCATTCATACCCCAATAAAATTTATCTATTTATCTCCAGCAAAACCTGTAACAGTGGAACCTTCTTGATCTCTAGTTCTCAGCGTAAGACTTTAAGTTCTTTCATCTAGTCATCTTTTCAAAAAAAACAAAAAAGGCCTGTCCCTGTTAATATACTTCTGGGGCAAATTAGCTGATCAAGGACAGGCTATGATATAAGTATCATCCTACTTTTTATAACTGGAGTATTTGTTTTTGGATAAATAAACATAACACATTCTTATTTGCATATTTTAAATCTTCAGGCCATAAAATTCTAAATAACATCTTTTTCTTCAGCACTGGGGATTGAACCTAGGTCCTTCATATTGAGTTACCACCTTAGCCTTTTTTTAAAAAAAAATGAATTTTAAGACTGGTCCTGATAAGTTGTTAATTTGCCAAGGCTCGGCTTAAATTTGTGATCTTCCCATCTCCAGCTCCCACAGTGCTGGCATTTCAGACCTGTGCCACCAGACCCACAAAAACTCTGAGATCTACGTTAGTACCAGTTATGATGCAACAGTAAAAGGAAAAAATAAAGATGAACAAAAAGGAAAGCTTCTGAAGATATTCCCATATTTAATGCCAGAAACACACTGAAGCACAGAAGACAACAAATGTACATGAAAAGCAAGGGGCAAACATGGGTGACAGAGAATGGAGGCCAAGGAAGCAGGGAGGCTGGCTGTCTGCATGTAGATGTATGATGTCACTATTACAAGGGAGGGGTCAGCCAGCTTCTTTCTATAAAGAGCTACACAGAAAATACTGTACGCTCTGCGGACCACACATCATTACTCTGCTGCACCTACACATTTGTACATATAAACAAAATGGGTAGAGCTGTTTCAATACAACCTTTTTTAATGAGAACTGTCACAGTTTGTCCAACTCCTGGTTGGACAATAATACCTTCTTTTCAGCCTTTTTTTCTCCTTCTTTCTCTCCCTTCCTTCTCTCCTTCCTTCCTTCTCAACATTGAGATTGAATACAGGGCCTTCACAACGAGTGACACCCCAAGTCCTCTTCTGATTTTTATTTTGAGACAGGTCCACTAAACTGCCCAAGCTGAGTTCAAACTTGCAAACTCTTGCCTCAGCCTCTCAAAAGTTCTGGGGTGACAGACATGCACTATCACACTCAGGTTATTTTCTTCTATAAGAGTAACCTCATCATTTGCCAAATCCCTGAGCAATAACATTCAAACTCGATTTTTTTTTTTTAGCTTTTTGAGATAGGGTCTCACTATGCAGTTCAGGCTAGCCTTGAAGTCACTGTGTAGCCCAGACTGACCTTGAACTCACAGTAATGCTCCTGCCTCAGCCTCCCAAGTGCTGAGATTTCAGGTCTGTACCACCATGTCCGGCTTCAAACTCAATTTAATATGCATACTTTTAAAACTTCTCATCAACCTAAAACAGGTTTTTTTTTTTTATAACCTAAAACAGTTAATGAAAAAAAATGTCATATCAAAAAATAAAACATTTACATTTCTATAAGAATTGAAAACATAAGCTGGGCATGGTGGCATGTGCCTGTAATCCTAGTACTCAGGAGGCTGACGTAGGAGGCTCACCATCAGTTCAAGGCCAGCCTAGGCTACATAAGTGAGTTCCAGGCCCGTCTGCACTATATAGTGAGACCTTGTCTCAAACATACACACACACGCACACGCACACGCAGGCACGCACACCAAAGAATTGAAAACAAAAATCCTTAAAAACTAATCTAGCCTTATTATAAGCAAAAAATAAAAGTCCTAATAAATTATCATATCTCATTTTGCAAAATACTGCCACACCAAAGGCTACTGAGTACCTAGCAAGTACAAATTATCAGGTAACCCCACTCCAGTGTGGGCTTCCCCCACCAGCTCTCCTGTCTGTTGCCCACGGCATTTGCATCTACTGTAACTGCAGGGTTATAGGGGAACAGCACTGACCTTAAGCACCCGGAGATGCTGCCATCTGCTCAGCACTAGGTAACTTTAGCAACAAGTTAACCGCGGCAAACAAGGTGCTTTTGCTCTTGCTCTCCTACCTCTTTGTTCTGCTGTGTTTGCTGCCACCTCCAGCGCCTTTTCAGTGCTTCCTTCTCCACTCCTTTTTCCATCAGTGCATACAAAGATTTCCTCAGTGCCAAGTCCCGATCATGAAAGCCCCACATCCCTGTGGCAAGAAAGCATGGTGTAAAATACCTTATACTGACTCAATCCACTTATTAATTTTGGGGGTAGTTTTATTTGTTTTCACAGTACTGGTAATCAAACCCAGGACCTCACACAAACTAGGGAAGTGGTCCACCACTGAGCTATACCCCTGGCCCCTCACTTATTATGACACATGGGCCCTAGCAAGAAAAAAAAAATCAGGTTGAGCCCAGACTCAAGGAAACTGGCTGTTTTAGGGAAGAGGTACTTAATGAAGAGAGGATGTAAATAAGCTTAGTAATTTACATGTCACAAAAGACTGCTGGGATATAGCTCAGCGGCACAGTGTCTGCCTGGCAAGGGGCAAGGTTGTGAGTTCGATTCCTGGTACTGAAAAAAAAGATTGTTAAAACTCTCTTTTCAACACATCCAAAGAATAACTAGTAAGTAGAATCACATACAGAGAGGGCTATATATTGTTTGCTTATTGCTGCTCTTTACTCCTAGGAGTCAGCTCACAGAGCAGGGCCTAAGCTAAACTCTGCGCTTTCCTCACTACCTGAGCAAGACTGAAAGGGTTCCCCTGTATCTGCATGTGGCAACAAACACACACACGTATGCATACATGTACATGCACGAGCACACTCCCGTATGCAACCTTGCTGTGAACCACTTCTGCCTAGGATGGCTCACACCATCACTTCTGCAGGATGGTTCACATTGCCACTTTTGCTTAGAATAAAGTTGGTTGGATCAAGTCCTACACATAAGATTTGATTAGATTTCTTCCTTCCTACAAGGAGAATGGAGGGTCATTTCCAAGACTCACCAAGAGAAGCTGCGTGCAGGAGACAGTTCCCATCTCCAGTAGTTGCCAAAGGAAGAAGTCTCTGACAGGTGGGGTCCACACTAACCCACCAATTTAAACGCCCTGAAGAAACATAAGAGTGGAGGAACAGAAGAGATGATCAGCCTCCTCCAGAAGACTACCCAGAATAAACCCTCTCTCTCTCTCTTTATATCCTTTTCACTTACCCAGTATTTAATGAGAATTTGTTAAGTAAAACTGGTTAGATAAGTAGGTCTTAAGCAGAAACAAGCCAGGCATAGTGGTGCATGCCTATAATTCCAGCACTCTGGGAGGCTGAGACATGAGGACAAGACATGGCTCCAGTATGACCATGATAGAGCAATTCACAGAGATCCTTACTCAAAAGGGGCAGGAGGGGGAGTGGGAGGGGGAGTCCAATTCACCAGATAGAGCAATTCACAGAGATCCTTACTCAAAAGGGGCAGGAGGGGGTGGATGTAGCTCAGTACAAAGGCCCAGGGTTTAATTCCCAATACAAGTTTTAAAAAAAAGCACTAGGGAGGTTGGGAGGTTGGGGATATAACTCAGTGCAAAGATCTATGGGTACCTAATCCCCAATATCACACACACAAAACTTTTTTTTCCTGAACTACAAAAAAGAAAACTGGCATATAATTCACCAGCCCAGATGACTTGCTAACTTTAGAAATTATGACTAGATGCATATAATATAGAAGGGTCTGACATGAAAAAGCTCCCTCTCGATGGCCCCATCTCCCATCTTCAATCTTTTTCTTGTAAGAATTTTGAAATACCTAAACTTTTCCCAAAATTCCCAGCTGTTTCACCCTATCATATAACAATTTTAACAATAATTTAAGGCAAATGCGATGGTGAAGGTCAATAAACTAAGGGAAAAGGTTTGTACAAATAGATACGACTTTCAGTGCATCAAGGACAGCAATGGTCCTCTCTACTGGCAGGGGAGCTTCTGAGTCAATTATACTTAGTTGTAGGGGAGGTTTTTTTGATCGATTGAATTTTAGGTATTTATTCCCAAACCTTTTACATCTATACTGGTTTCCCTTCTATCCAAAAAAAAAAAAAAAAAAAAAAAAATTTCCAAAGTAAAGTATTTAATTGGCATCCTTTACATAACTTCCAAAAGCACCCACCTCAGTCCACATTTATCTGTCTAACTCCTGTGACCGCAATCAGATGCACACTTACACTGGAAGCTACTAATGAAGGCCACTCAAGGTGGAGAGGAGAGTAAGGAATGCTGAGAAGAAATACTCACTGACCTGCCTGTTCCAAGGCAACCAGCATGGACTGCTCAATGAGGTCTCTCTCTATGAAGCTGCGGAAATCTTCACTGTACACGGTGAGGTCTGGAAGCTGGAAAGCACAGATGGGCATTTCCAGGGGGTGCTCACTGCTCCCCCCACCCCCACCACTGCAGGAGACCTGGGACCGGGCCAGGGAGACAATGCTGGAGCTGGCGTGGGAGATGCCCCTAGACAGGCGTTTTTCTGCAATGAGAAATGGAATCACTTAGAACACACACAGCCCACACAGAGAACTCTCCACTGATGCGGTGAGGGTTACCTCTTGACAAGTTCCCCACCAGGGAAAAACTGCACCAAGCCAGTTACTGAAGCTCACACCAGTTTTTGTTTTTGTTTTCACACCAGTTTTTCTTCTTTTCTTTTCTTGTTGCTTTTTGTGTGTTTGTTTTTTAAAACAGGGTCTCACTACGTAATCCAGGCTGGTCTCGAACTCGCAATGATCCTCCTCAGCCTCCCAAGTGCTGGGATTATAGCTGTGTGCCACCACACCCAGCAGAAGTGGCATTCTTGCAGGCACTTAAATTAGCACCAAATATACATTCCTCTTTTTACCCTTATTTGGAATTTGCCTGGCCTTCCTCTTCCTATGACTTTGTTTTCTTATATTTCCATTTCCTACCATGAGAGGAACTCACTAATACAGCAATTTGGTTACTTTTTGATGGGAGGAAGAAAAAAGGGAAATGGGTTTCATTCTGCTAGATTTAGTTAAATCTCTCTGATAATACTCATAGTCTTGGAGAATGTAGAAAGGATTTCTCTTTAGAAAAGAAAACGGCAAATCTTACACATATAAGAACACTCTTCCTACATCAATGACATCTATTTATATTATTTATAACAACTTTTCATAATACTCATATTTATCAGAAACTTATACAGTTACTTCTTAACATGCTTAAAACCATAAGGCATATGTTCCCCAATCATCTCATTTAGAGTACATGACTCTTGCAATTCCCTAGCTGATTTTCCACTGAGAGCATAATTTGCTGTAGTATTATAATTCATCTGCATGGCTTGGGGGCAGGAGTTCAGATGCTGACTGGCTGTTCTCAATCCAATATTTAACAGAGATGATACATAAAATAAATCAAGTTGTCTGAAGTTATTCTGTGGTGACAACATTCTAAAATATTTTAAGTACCTCGAAAGTCTCATATGCCATGATTAAAAATCAAAATGCTATCAAAAGGTATAAAACATTTTACAAAAAAGTTTCTCGTCTGGGCAGGAAGATAGCTCAGCGGCATAAGCGCTTGCCTGGCAAGCACATGGTCCTGAGTTTGATTCCCAGTACTAAAAAAAAAAAGAGAAGTTTCCTTCACAATTCTAAATTCCTGATCCTTTCCCCAGAGACAACTTTTTACATCTTCCTAGAAGTTTTTTGAAAATAGAAGCCCATACAGCTTTTTAAATCTAAAATGCAAACAGGAACATACTGTATCTTACCTTTCTAACTAGGGGTTAGAGAGTTTTCCAAAATAGCACATTAAGTTCTGTCTAATTCCTTGTAAAGACTGCAGATTATTCCACAATAAACATGACTGAAGTTTATTTAACCACTTCTTTACTAGTGGGTATTAAAGAGTATTTTCAAGTTTAGTTATTATAAAATAATTACATTGAATGTATTAATCTATTTACTTATTAAGATATGCACAGATATATTCACATACACATATATGATAAATTCCTAGAAATAAAATTCTTCAAAGACTAAATAATAAATGTTGATGGATACTGGCAAATATTAACAAATTATCACTCTCTAAAAAAGTAGATGGTACTGACCCTTTTAATTCTACCTTTATATGTACCAAGTCTCAACAATTAGGTTGTTAGCCTCTTTGCTCTATTATTTTAACAGTATCTGAAATAGACCTTTATAAAGGATAACACTCAGGATGCAGAGATGGTAAGGAACTTCAGCCTCTGTTCAGATCAAGGCCACCTCAATCTGTGCTTGGCTGCGGAAAAGGGGAAGAATCGCTAGACTTTCTAGTGCTATTAGCAGCCCCCCCCCTTCTACTAGGCAGTGTTCACAAACACCCCCAGTCAGCTAGTCCTGTACCTTGAATGATGTCATCTTGCCGCTGCAGGGTAGGTCGGGAAGGGCGAGCACACTCTTTCTCAGAACACCCCTTTTCAGGGGTCTTGGAGCCACTACTCCCTTCGCTAAAGGGTAACGGTAGGTTCCCAGCATGGACTTGACGTAGCTGTTCAAAATCACTGAGGGCGGCACTCACGTCCCAATTTTTTCCTGTCAGGAGACAAAGCAAAAAGCAAATTATCCACTCAGGTATAGGGAAATTGGGGAAAGAAACAAAGACCATTCTAACCATACTACCAAAACTAGTAAGCAGGAGCTAAGTATGTGACTCAGTAGCAGCACACTTGCCTAGTACATATGAGGCCCTGGATTTGATTCCCAGCAACACAAAACAAACAAAAGACACCAGTAGGTAAATACTAATCCACATTTCAATTATTCTTTGAATTTTCTTCATAACACTTCTATCTGAAATATCAATTTACTATTTATTGTCTATTTCCTCATAATGTCCAGGAGGGTAGAAACTTTGTGTCTCAGAATGAGGGCCTTTAGAAATCTAGTAACCTAAAACTAAAGCCTCCTATTACAGATAAAGGAAATAAACCTAAAACAAGGAGAGGGACTTGCTCAAAGCCACAGCTAGTCTACACTAGAGCTCAGCAGGACTCAAGCCCAGGCCTCCAATTCTGAGACCCAAAGAGGTGCTTAGCACAGGTACGCTCTGGGGTGCCCTAAGCAACCTGAAATTGTATATACAACTATGAGCAGCTACATTTGTCTAGAGAAAGAGGTGCTACACATCATCAGTTTATCAGAGAACCATGTTGCCGAATTTAAATATCACTTACTCTACTGAAGAACCCTAAGTGACAGAATTGCCATAATGCATTTTTCTGTGGCTTTCTCCAGTCAAATTATTTACATACTGCCTAACTGTTGACATTTCTTTCCACTAGTCCATCAACCATCAACTTAATTCCCATCACCTACTGTCCTATCTTCAATCCATTCTAAAAAAAATGCTATGAGATTTATTTTTCCAAAGTGCAGTTGTGATCATTTGTTTTGTTCCACGATCAAATCTTTAGGTTATGGTTCACTGCCTACAGAATAACATGATGCTCTTCAGCCCAATGGTCAAGGCTTTCTATGATCTGACCCACTTTTCTAGCCTTTTCTCAGTACTTCAATTTCTTTATCTATGAAAATGCAGATGATAAGAACAGTACCTACCTCACAGGATTGTTACGAAGAGTAAATGAGTTGAACACATACAGAGCTGGGCATGGTCATGCACGCCTGTAATACCAGCACTTGGGAGGCTGAGGCAGGAGGATGACTGTGAGTTCAAAGCCAGCCTGGGCTACAGGCTGAGTTCAATGCCAGCCTGAACTACAGACAGACCCTGTCTCAAAAAAAGTATACAGAACCATGCTTGCTACACAGAGGCAGGATCTATGTAATTCTGTTGCTGCTGTGAATTCTAATCACAGCTAATCATTCATGCTTTATAATTTCACTTTTTTTTTTTTTGAGACAGTGTCTCACTATACAGTTCAGGCTGGCTTTCAGCTCACTATGTAGTCCACGCCGGCCTCAAACTCGCAGCAATCCTCTTGCCTCAGCCTCCCGAGCGCTGGGATTACAGGCATGCGCCACCACACCTGGCTGATTTTACTGCTAAACCAATACATTCACTACTTGTTCAACTACCTTTGCTCAGTCAGTTGCAGTCACCAGAGTCCTATTCACTGTTCTAGAATACCTTCAGCTGGCTTCCCCGCAGAGCCTCTCCATTGCCTGTTCCCACTGACTGTAAGGCTCTTTCACGGTACATCCGCACAGCCCTCATCCACTTCAGGAATCTGCTCAAATGTCACGTTAGTAAGTCCCACCTGACTGCCCTGTTGGAAGTCATAATGCACCATCACTCTTCTGTTTCCCACAGCACTCAGTACCTCATACTCATAGTTTATGTGTTACCATATTTTTTCACTGTCTCTCCTACTAAACATGAGGGTAGGAGGTTTTGTTTGCTTTGTTTTGTTCAAGCAACTAGAAGAGTACCTGGCATCCATAAATATTTGGTGAATACATGGAAGACTCTTTCCTGAACCAATCAATGCGTGGGATATGGCTATGTGCTCCAATTGTGTACAAAGCTCCTTGAAATCAGGCCCTTGTAATAGCGTATCCAAATCTGAATGTCCAGCATCTTCCCTCGCAAAACTTGCTTCCTCTCTTCTGAGTTCCCCACATCAGTAGTGGCACCACAACCCCCCCGGGAGGTTTCGGTCACTTTCAGCTCCTCACTGCTTCTCCATACTTCCTGTTTGCTCGCAGCCAGGTGGTCCCCAGGGTTGTTTGCATCCCTGAAATGGTTCTCAACTCTGTTCTTTCTAGTCCGTTGTATTGCCACTATCCCCGTTCCGGTCCTACTTTCACTTGGCCTTTGGTCTCCTCAAAGGGAAACTCTCTAACCAATCTCTTTGCTCCCAATCTCCCCCATCTTTAACTTGTTTTGTACATTACAACCAGAGTTAACTTTTAAAGGAAAAGAACAACCAAGGAAGAGACAAAGAGAAAATGTAGACTGGGTCTTTTGATTCCTCTTTTAAACTGTATCTTAAATCCATCCACTTCTCTCTCTCCACTGCTACCATTGTGGTCCAAGTCACTATCATCTCTCACTTGAACTATGGCAATATCCTTAACTGGCCACTGGCCCATTAAGTATCTAATAATCAGTACACTATTAAAAACCACAGTCTGATTAAAATCCTTCACCATCTTTCTAGGGACCTGGGAATATAATGTAAACTCCTTACCATGCTCAAGAAAGGCTCCCCATAATCTGCTTCCTGCCTATCCAACCAGCTTCCCATTTCACACACACCACTTCCTTAATGCTATTAAGTTTCTCCAATGTGCCAAACTCTCTCTCGTTTTAGGGTCCTTGTGTAAGACATTGGTCTGGCAAAAATCCTCTCCTTTTCATCCTCTGGTCTTGCTCCTCCTATTTATCCTTCAGGGTTCAGCGCTGAACTTCCTCAAAGGTCTTCCTGCACCCTAGATCTAAACCAGGCTTCTCTCTTCACTCTCACAGCAACCTCAACTTCTCTTGCATAACACGACTGTTATATAGCAGCCACAGCTTTTCCTTGTAAGGTGAGTAGCTCTGCAGGCCGCACACAAACATCAATTTGTAACATACTTGTTAAGAGGGATACTCTAAAACCAAATTGCCTAGGTTCAAATGCTATTTAAGTTCCCTGACCTTTAAAGTTTTAACAGAGTGGCTAAGAGAAAAAGTAATATACCTCAAGTACCTTGTACATAACGGACACTTGAAAGTATCTGACACATGTAAGTTACAAGAGCAATGGAGAATGGTTAAGCATTATTTTACTTTTAAAAAGGAGTCTTTTAAGCTGAATTTTAAAAATGAGAACATAAAAGAAAGAAGACTGCACACTTAGGAAACATGACCAGGGAAAGTGATAAGCCAAGCATTGCTGGAACATAGGAAATGTGGAGGGGAAAGTAGTAGGAACTGAAAATCTAAGCTAAAGGCATAATTGTACTGAATTAATAAACTAGACTTTAAATCCTGATCTTGTCTCTGAACTCTTTTCACAGGTAGCTAAGCGAAGGTCAGACTATTACAGCTCCCTAACAGCTGACAATCTAAAAAATTACCAATGAATGCTAAGAACTTGCCCCTGCCTAAAGGCTCACCTGTGTGTGTCCTTATATACTTTCTTCATCAAAAAGCATCTGTTTTGCTGGGCATAGTGGCACACACCTGTATTCTCAGCACTCAGGAGGCTGAGGCAAGAGGATCACTGCAAGTTTGAGGCCAGCCTTGACTACAAAGTGAGTTCAAGACCAGCCTGAACCCTGTTTCAGAAAGACACACACAAAAAAAACTGTTTTTAAGTTTTTTTTATTAGTACATATTTGCAGTACATGATGATTACATTCATTGTGAGGAACTGATACATGCACAGAACACATCACTTCTTTTTTCCCCTTCCCTTGCACCTCCCTTTTGCCAGTCTCAGAGTCATTTATTTATCTTCTAAGTCAATAGGCCAAAGACATTACTGTATACTAAACCAAGGTACTGTCCATGCTGGATTACCATAACTATTTTCTCTCTTTTTCTACTATCTTTTCCTTTTTTTTTTTTGTACCAGGACTTGAACTTAGGACCTTACACTTGCCAGGCAGGCACTTGTGCTACTGAGCTATATTCCCGGCCCTCTTTTCTAATATCTTTTATTTTGCATTTTATATATTGAAAAACCACGCAATATTTAACCTCGTGTGTCTGATTTACTTCACTTGTATGTCTGACTTACTTCACTTTTACTTCAAGATGCATCCATTTTCCTACAAATGACTGAAGTTTATCTTTATTTATGGCAGATTAGTACTCCATCATGTATATTTTATTTTA